TAAAAGTTTCCTAGCTCTGTCCCCCAGCTTCCTAGGCTTCCTTACAAAAACTTTGTTATTGAGGAAGCCTTTGGGGACAGCAGGACAAGGAAGGATTCTTAAATGTCTAAAAATATCTGCTGCTGGTAATAATAGTAATAGTAATAATGTTAGAACTGCAGAGCTGGAAGGGACCCTTTGGATCATCAAGTCCAGCCCCTGTCAAAGAGGCACAGTGGAAAATTGACCTCTCATGTCCCTAACTAGGTGTAGTGCAAGTTTTTCAGTAAATGTTTTGAAGCAATCCAGAATGGTTGCTTCCGATATAAGCAAGAGCTTGGTGTACAAACCTGGAATTCACATAATACATGTGTCCTGCATCAGAGAAAGCTTTTGAAATTTTCCTGAAGGCTTTTTACTTTAATACAAATAATATTTATTTTAATCGATAGTTCCACTTGAAATTAGAGGCTGTTGTGGTTGTTGTACATTTTCTTAACTTTTTGTATAAATATAATAATATAATATATAATAATATATATTTCTCCAAGAAATATAATAAATTGGAACCATATTACATCAAAGTCATTAGTACTTGTTTGTTGACAGGCTCCCAATGTCTTGTGTTAGCCTTTAAGTAAGGCCCAAGTTCAAATACATTGATACCAGCTATTTAGAGACCATAAGTTACCAAGTTTCTGTATTTGGCCCAACTCTTGTAATGCTCGTAAAAGGAGGAAATGTTAATAAACAATGAACAATAACTTCCTTTGGTTTCTGAATAATTATTTTTATTCAGTCCTTGCTTTGCTATTAGTTGAGTGCATATATAGTAACAAAAGTAACAAAGTACATGTCACATATTTCTGTTCTAAATTCAACTTCTTTACAGAGGATGTTAAGGAAACATGAAGACAAAACCAAGTACCACCTTTGGAAGGCTGGATATTATATAGCAGCACATTTTCCAGAGCATGAGATCACAATACTGTGGGATAGAAAGACAACAATGCATCTCAAAGTTGGAGCTCAATGGAAGGTGAATGAAGGAATATGAAACTGCCATCTTATATTTTACAGAAAGTGGGTATTTGCTGTGGAGTTGGGTGAGTTATTAGACAGAACTCCTGAAGAGACTTTTGACCTATGTCTCATTCAAATGCCATGACAAGATTATGCCAAGTTGCAAACTATATTTGTTCTTCCTTTGAGAATATCTACCTGTAGAGAAGAGGAACTTGGTATAGTGTGATAATTTATTTAGGTTCAGAAAGCACCTGCATTTCTTACAACAAGAAATAAAAGGATTAAAACATTGGACTCTGCTTTCTAATTTCCAACTGGGGAAGAGAAGAGCTGCAGTTTTTTTTAGACGGAAGCCATACTGGTTGGGGCTGTTTCATAGCCTGCTCTCCTGTGTACTGTCATAGTTGAGCCCGCTGACCAAGTAATGGTGTTAGATGAAGGTGTACCACAAACTGAGGCAGATAATTTCTTACTTACCGAGCCAGCAACAATGTCAAATATTTTAAAAGTAATTTTTAATTTTGACCATTCAGTAAGAAGGGAAGTAAATTCTACATAACTGCCTGGATAGCTCAATGGGTTAGGTATGTGGCTGCCAAGCCAGAGGGTGGTAGTTCATTTTCCCACTCTGCATCCCAGAAGAGCTAGCCTGTGTGGCTTTGAATAGCTGCACAGTCGTAGGATGTCCCCAGAAGAAGGGCATGGTAAACTACTACCAAAAAATAAAAGGATTAAAACATTGGACTCTGCTTTCTAATTTCAAACTGGGGAAGAGAAGAGCTGCAGTTTTTTTTAGACGGAAGCCATACTGGTTGGGGCTGTTTCATAGCCTGCTCTCCTGTGTACTGTCATAGTTGAGCCCGCTGACCAAGTAATGGTGTTAGATGAAGGTGTACCACAAACTGAGGCAGATAATTTCTTACTTATCGAGCCAGCAACAATGTCAAATATTTTAAAAGTAATTTTTAATTTTGACCATTCAGTAAGAAGGGAAGTAAATTCTACATAACTGCCTGGATAGCTCAATGAGTTAGGTATGTGGCTGCCAAGCCAGAGGGTGGTAGTTCATTTTCCCACTCTGCATCCCAGAAGAGCTAGCCTGTGTGGCTTTGAATAGCTGCACAGTCGTAGGATGTCCCCAGAAGAAGGGCATGATAAACTACTATTGAGAAAGCAGGTCATCATAAGTTGGTATTGACAGGACAGCACATCATCATTAAAATATTCCACCTCCAAGAAGAATGGAGATACAATCTGAACCCATTTCATGAGGTTGTTCTGCTTTAGCAATAAATACCTTGCTCCCTTGTTTTTACCAATGGATTTGCTCTTCTAAGAACTGGGTTGTGAATGCAGAAGTATCATGCAGTACTGTTGTATTCAGAATGCAGGTAACAGAGAACATGGTCTAGTGCTTCTCTACATATAGGAAGTATCAGGTTTAACTGCATTCCTTGGCAATTTTAACTAATAGATCACTTTCCCATGCCACATTAAAAAAAGCTTAGTGAAAGAACATAGAAATGGTGCACATGGTGACATGCTTTCAACAGTGGAAAAAAAACACCCAGAAGAGATAATTAGGGAGCAGGGGACAATATTTATGAGGGATATCAGAGTTAATTCATAAATAAGCACATGTTGTGAAAGTGGGGAAAAGCCTATCTGCAGAAGGATGAGATGACACGGTGGTTACAATCCAGTAGCAAATTGCTACTAGAGTAGGCCTCTTAAATCAGGGGAATATGGTGAGCCAGCTCCTCTGTAAGTTCTACAGGTTAAGTGGGCCTACTCTAGTTATGAGTCACTAGCAGATTTCAGTTAGTCATTTTTGGAGACATGCTTCTTATGCCATCAGTGCTATAAGGTGGAGATTGGTAGATGTTCGGGACTACATCTTCTATTCGCCATGATGGATGGAGAAGAGAGGGGTAAGAACCAAAACCACTTGGAGAGACAAAGATCCTCCCTGCCTGTGATAAGGCCTAATGGTTTGGTCTCAGTTACGAATGTCAACTACCCAAAGCCATTTTAAGGAGCTAGCTGTGCCTTTCTTTAAAAAAAACCATGTTCAATGCAAACCTGCATGAAATGTAACATATTATGAAAGGTAGTTTATAATATATTTTTAAAAATGTTGACATAGGTGAGGTTACTTGCTTGGAAGGCCAACTATGGAAGTGTTAATATTTGTATTTTCTAAAAAAGCATATATAATGTTTGTCATCAGCCTAATACTTATTTTTATTATTTCAAATCAAACAATTTAATGTAATGTCACACAATCTTGTAATTTTAGGGTAAATTGGCAGGTTTATGCGGGAATTTTGATAAATTCACATCGAATGATCTGACTACATCCAACAATATGGAAGTAAGAAATGCCCAGCTTTTTGGAGAGAGCTGGGCAATAGGACAGGTGAGCGTGCTGTGTTCATCCAATATTGAGAATATGTGTTCTGCATTGAGAAAATGAGATGTAGTACTGCGGTTACTGCCTCACCCAGCCCATCAATTTAGATACTTCCTTTTGGTCCAAACTCCCCAATCCAAATGCTTCTGCACACTGGCTTTCCAGTATGCTAGATCACCACAAAAACATGAAGCCTGCTTTGTGTGCATGATATTATCTTAAGAAACCTGATCGTTTTAATGCCAAGGGGCAAATAAATAATAGGAAAATGTTGCCACTTACTTCCTGGCTTTGGTTTTCTCTCCAGACTGGGCATAGCTGACAACATCCCCTGTTTAAGTAAAGCACAGTTGTTTGTATTTTGCCTCAAAATGGGCTTTCTTCTATACCAGCACCATAGTCGTGGCTCAGCAGTGGCATGGCTTTCCCTCCCCCCACTTCCCATTCCATACTGCTGCCATAATGAGCTACAAATACTAAAGATGAATTTTCAAAGCATGGTACCTAGAATCCATCACTCCTTTTTATGCCCAGCGAGCAGACTGAGTTTGTTGGTTCATCCGTCAACAGGCAGGTCGCCGAATGCCAGGATCCATTTGCCATCCATCCTCCACTGGGATGTGATGAGTACCCCTAAAATTTCTCATTTCTGGAACTTTTCCAAGTCTTCCCATGCTGAGACTTGCTGCAAGGGAAGGAAAAGAAAAAAGAAGAAAGAGAGAGATCTTTTCCTATCTCAGCCTCCCTTTGAGAGTGAGAAGGTATGAGACAGGAGTTCCCCATGCAGCCCAAAGGCTCTGCATCCACAACTGATAAAGTTATAACCATGTTTACTCACCTGAACTAGTATCATGTGTGTGTGTTTTTTTCTTGTTCTGTCCTGCTACCTCTACTCCTACTGGGACCTCAGGTACCCCACTCTCTCCCTAGCAGAAGAAAAATGCAAAAATAAATAAATAATTGATTAACTAGCCGCTGCCTTTTTCTCTTACCTAAAATCTGCTGCTTAAGGCAATGTCTGTACTCTGCTTAATGGTAGCGCCATTTCTTCCATCTTTCAAATATACACATGCCTGTTTAGTACAGATAACTGGAAGAAGTGAATTGGGGGAATGGAGTTGCTCTGTGTATTTGCTCTGTGTATATACAGCGGAATAGATATACAGATGTTTTCAATAATTGCAGTTCGTGCATGATATGCATAATAGTATTTGTGTATGAAACTATTTTGAGGTTCCTTGTACTGTATATGTTGCAGATAACATCTTTCCCATGACTTTTCTTTTTTTCTTTAAAAGGCTTGGAAGGACCAGTATTAATATCAGTTGTGTTTTCCTTATTTTAGTTTATGATATTTTGCTTTTAGTATTGTTTGACAAGTTAATTTATTTTTGCTTGTTTATTTGAAGTTATTGAATAAAACTTTTCATTTCTGCTAGGGCATTAAAGTTTAGCCAAACGATACACTGGCTACACAGTGTTCTGTTTATATTTTCAATTAGCTGCTCTGGAAACAATGATGATGTGTGGTAAATGAAACATTCCGTTGTCATACCAAAAAGGAGGAAGAACCTGAGTTTGTACAAAACAATAAATAAAGCCCTTGGCAGATCAGTGTTTTTGGTTATAAAGAAAGTAAGAGACACCAGGTTAGGAGAAAACAAAACAAAAATATTACATCTCTGGATATGTTGGTGGGCATTTTCAGTGGCATTTGCTTTGCAGAAAAAGCCCAATGTACACTTAAACATAGTAACTAACAATTATTGTATTTGTTGTTGTATAAATCAGTGCTCAAGTCCCAATGAAACCGTGAAGCCATGTGAAGTCCATCAGAGCAAGTTTCCTTATGCCAAAAAGGAATGCTCAATTTTATACAGCGATGTTTTTGCCCCTTGTCGAAATGTGGTAAGTGAATGCTTCATAAACCATCTGATAGTATGCGATTTTGAAGAGGAAAATTTATAACTAATTTCAATGTCTGTGTGTCCCAGCAGGGGCTTTTCTCACTTCTGGGGATATACAAGTTAACTTACTTTGTCTGGTTTTTCAAGACTTAAGCACAGTATTCATTTTAAACTTGGCTTTGTAAACCCGCAAGGCTGGCTTAGTCACAGCTTTCCAAAATGAACTTGCTTTTAGCTTTTTGTTGTTCTGATGTGCCATTAACTCATATCCAGCTTATGGCAATACAGTGGACCCTTGACTTACAGACGGCTTGACTTACAGACTTTTTGAGTTACAGACTTCTCTGGCCGCAAAATTTAGGTTTGACTTGCAGACTGAGATTTGACTTACAGACCAGAAAAAAACCAAAATGGAACAAAAACGGCCTGTTACAGGATTAATCGGTTTTCAGTGCACTGTAGGTCAATGGAGACTTGACTTACCGACTTTTTGACTTGAGAACCGCCTTCCAATACGGATTAAGTTCTCAAGTCAAGACCCCACTGTACTATGAATGAGTGGCCTCCAAAATGTCCTGTCATTAACAGTCCAGCTCAGCTCTTGTAAATGCAAGATTGTGGCTTCCTTTATGGAGTCAATTCATCTCATAGCAGGTCTTTTCCTGCTGCCTCCACATTTTCTCAGCTTCATTGTCTTTTTCAGTGAGTTTTGTCTTCTTGTTACGTAGCCAAAATACAATAGTCTAAATTTCATAATTTTTGCTTCTAGAGAAAATTCAGGCTTGATTTATATAAGACCCCTTTGGTTGTTTTACTAGTGGTCATAATGCCTACAAAGCTCTCTTCCAAGACCATGAATCTCTTTTTTTCCTGCCTGCTTCCTTTACTGCCCATACAGTACGGATATACTAGTTGTGGATGATCTTGGCCTTGGTTCCAGTGACACCCCTTACACTTAAGGATCTTTGCTCATTCCTTAATTGCTGCACTTCAAATTTCAGCTTTCTTCTGATTTCTTGGGTGCGCTCTCCATCTGGATTGATGATTGGACCAAGGTATACAAAATCTTTCACAATTTGAATGTCTTTACTGTCAACATTAAGATTGTGTAATTCCTCTATAGTCGTTATTTTTGTCTTTTAAATGTTCAATTGCCATCTTATTTTGCCTTTTCTTTCTTAACCTTGATCATTGCCATAGTATTTGACAACACTGCTATTTTCTGCCAGTCATAGGGTATCATCTGCATATCTAAAACCATTGATGATGCTTCTACTAATATTGATTCCTCTTCATCTGAATTTAATCCATCTTTCCACATGATTTTTTGTATGTAGACTGACAGCAGATAAATTTTCTTTGACACCCTTATGAACTGGAAACCTTTCTGTTTCTTGATAGTCCTGAAACAGTCTTTTGTCCAGAGGATATATTATGCATCAGGACAATTAAATATTGTGATACACCCATTTCTTTTTAAATGATCCATGATTCACACAGTCAAATGCTTTACTATAAAATATAAAGTACATATTGATTTTTTTCCTAAAATGGCCTATAGTGCCTCTTCCTTTTCTGAATCTGGCTTGAATATCTACAATTACTTGCTCCAAATACAGTAAGTTAGGTTCCAGTTATACAACTTTTGCTTGCCAACAATTCCATGAGTTTTCTATGTTATATTTTGTCAAAGGCTATCTTGAAGTCAATATAATAAATGTAAATATCCACATTAATGTAATGGCATTTCTCTCCAAGAACATCTAAGCAGAATAGTGTTTTATAGTTCCAAATTCTTCTCTGAAATTGAAACACACATCTTAAGCCTTTTTTGACACTTCTTGTAAATTCTGCCATGTATTGTCTTTAAGAAAATCTTAAGCAAGTGGCTCATTAAATTTAGTGCTCTGTAATGGGTATAAGCTTTCACCTTTCTGAGTGGTGTAATAAAGGTCTACGTCAACTGCATTTCAAGAATGATGTTCTGTCAATCTGATGGAAAGATTAATGGAAATATCTTAATCCTGATTTTCTATTAGCTGAAATACTTCAGGGGAAAAAAACCAGAATTGAATCCAGGTGCTTTGCCTTTTTTTGGTTAGCCATACTGCATTTTGGATTTCTGAATCTTCACATTAGTATTTGGTATAATAAATACTATTGCTTAGTTATTTTCAATATATTCAATCCATATTGCGATTTTACCTTTGATATCAAGTATCAGAGAATTAGTAGTGTCTATCAGTAGTGGGCATTGGTTCTGGGTTTTGAAAATAATACACCTGCTACTTCCCTGATCTTTGCCCTCTCTAGGTTTTCTAATTCTTTACATTGTTTGAACTACCATTTATTTTTCTACTTCCAGATTTTTTTAAATTGTTGTTTTGCAATTCTCTGTGTTTGATGGCACCTTTCTTTTTCCATTTTTGATTCTCTTTCTTGAGTTGTAATATTTTTTCAGCCATCCACTTGTTATTTTAATTTGCATTTTATATTATTTTATTTATATTGCTGCGCTGATGAAAATGAAGACCTTTATCTTCTGACAGGTTTTCCCTTAGTGACTGACTTCTGTGAGGGATTGTGCCTTGTTGTTTTGAATCTGTTTTCAGTGTTGATTTTGTTTACCCTTTTTAATATTATATTTGTTTGATTCATTTTAATATCGGTATATTTAACTGTTTTTAGCTTTTAAATATTGTATTTCAATGATGTAAGCCAGCTTGGGTAAGAAGAAAGGTGAGATAAAAATATTTTAAATAAAATAAAGAAATGCTTTTGAATTATGCTAGGATGACAATAAACATCTGAGATTAATTGTGGTCTAAAAATGACAGGCTAGTTTTTGGAGCATGGCTGGCTATTCCAATAGGTGGCAGCATTTATGTATAATGAGAGAAAATAGTAATAGTTTGGTTATGTTGTAAATGTATATCAGTGCAGTATTGGGAATAGTAAAAAAAATGTGAATTCTATGCATTAAAAATGCATAGATGAGCAGGTCATAACCTCTGAGTAGGTCAACTGCAGGATATTCAGCCACATATGCAAGTGAAAACAGTTGCGACTCCAGTTGATGTGATGCAGCATAATAGAGTTGCTTAATTCTAAAAAGGTCACTTCTATTAAACACAGCCCTCCACCTGAAAATAATATTTCACATGTGATTGTATCCTTGGTAGTGTGGACTGATGTAAAGAGTAGCTTGTTTGCAGTCTCTTTGTATTTCTCTGGTACCCTTTTCAACCTTTGTTTAAGATCTTATGTTGCACTGACTGGTCTTCCATTCCTGATTTATTCAAAGCACACACATATTTTATTCTTCTAGCAATTCCCTATTGAAAATCTTTTCCCTCCTCTTGTCATACCAGCAACTTAAATTGATTTTGGCAGAGTTTATATTCTTCTGTTGCAATGATTTTGCGAAGGCTTTCACGACCGGGATCTAATGGTTGTTGTGGGTTTTGCGGGCTCTTTGGCCGTGTTCTGAAGGTTGTTCTTCCTAACGTTTCGCCAGTCTCTGTGGCCGGCATCTTCAGAGGACAGCACAGAGTGCTGGTGAAACGTTAGGAAGAACAACCTTCAGAACACGGCCAAAGAGCCCGAAAAACCCACAACAACCATTAGATCCCGGTCGTGAAAGCCTTCGCAAATACTTTGACTGTTGTTGGTTTTTTTAAAGCTTCTTGCCTTTTACTGCTTCCCTCATATCTTCAATTTAAGTCCTGAACATGCCTATAATCTTTTTATGGGCAGCCAAATACATTTTTCTTGAGACTTTCAATATCTTAGTTGGGTTGTAGCTGGAAGTGACTATTTATATTTCTTCACACCCTTTTAATTTTTAAACTGTTCTGTTTCAGTTGTCTTTCCTCTTATTTTACTGCTGTTAGACACTTTTACTACCATTTTTTAAAATGGACAGGTAGGATATAAATGTAATAACATTTTAAAAAGTAATTTCTGGCATACGTTTTGTATAAAAACACCCCCCATCTCCCTGAAGGTTGCTGTCTGCTGAATTCTGTATTTTGAAGTCACTCCAACAAGCACTCTCGTTTTTTTCATACGTCTTAGTTTTCTTTAATATTTTTCAGATCGATGTGACATCATTTGTCAAAAACTGCCATACTGACACATGCAATTGCCATCTTGGTGGAGATTGTGAATGTCTGTGTACCACTATTGCAGCTTATGCACACAAATGCTGCCAGCAGGGTGCAGTGATTTACTGGAGATCGCCTTCCCTCTGCCGTATGTATCATATTCTCTGTGCCACAAAACTCAACTATATAAACAATGTAGATTATTCCACACTTTTTGATTTCTAGTAAATTATGGAGGTTGAAATCAGTTCGCCTAATGCTGCTGAGCAACCATATGACACCTTTAAATAATAGAATGGAAATAAGGTCTGTGTGTGCTCACACACACACATACTTCTTTTAATGGACCCTATGTTAAAACTTGTACCATATTTGAGAGACTTTGCCTTTCTAACCCTCTATCTATCAAATCATAATTTACATTGTGGTGTTTTTTATATTTATTTTTATTTTTTAATATTCCTAATTTGTTAACTGGTCTTCATATTAGAACTTGCAGCTCTGAAAAAGAATCAGTGGCCAAAATCCTGTATCTATGACTGTGGAAGGCTGATGTCATTGTAAGCAAGGGACAATTTATGAATATTAAGCATTTCTTATTTCTGCCTATGACTTCCACAGCTCCTGTGTAATCTTTTTTTTTCTTCATATGGAAGCCATGGAAGCCACAGGATAATAAGTTTAGTTCTTTAATTATATATATAAAAAATCAGTTTGACATTACTGCCAGCAACAAATTTCTGGCAATTAAAGACTTTCCTGTTCTGTAGCTCCCATGGCTTCCACACAATGAAAGCAATTACAAACAAATTATGGGAGCCATGGGACAGAGGTAGCAATAGTTTAATTCCCCCAAATCATCCCTTGCTGATAACATCACCACCCTTCCATGGGCATACTTATGTTATCAAAACTTTAATCAGTAAATGGTTAAAAAGTTTGTTTTCTGTTTCATTCTACAATTCTAAGAAAGGCCAATCTTGGTGTAAACCTGCGATAAACATTAGATTTTGAAAATCTCTGACAGAAATTCAGCGTGTCTTTTTACTAGTAATGGAACAGTCAAGGTCTGTAAGGGTTTCTTAAATGAGTAAATTAGTTAATTGCCTCTGAGTGATTGACTGTTGCAAATTATCTAATTGAATTATGTTCTGTACTTATTTCACCTTTCAGCTTATGACTGTGATTATTACAACCAAGGTATGTAGCATCTGTGTTTCTAAAATAAATAATTCTGTATTGTGTGCATATCCAAGACATTGACTGATTGTTCTTATACAAGAAGTACAATTGTGATTACTTCATGCAGGTTTAAAGTAAAGCTCTAACTTACATGACTAGAGCATAAATTTGGAGTGAATAAAAATGGTTTCAGTATTTTTTGCAAAAGGAAAATTTAAAATTTTCCCCAAGTCTCTCTTTTGCTGTTCTATCAATAAAAGTGCAGCAAAGTACTGTATGGAAGGAGACAAAAACACACCAATGCATTAGTCAATGTGCAAAATTACCAGAAATTTATTGTTATAGCTGAAGTTACTTGGCACAGCATAGGCAATAGATTTGTCTGCCAGCCAACTGATGGAACCATCATTTCCCTGCCTCCAGCTAGGTTAAAACCATGGAACGGAGTGTAAGAATTTACATATCAGTCAGCCATTTTGTTTCCTTGACACCTTGGACACCTCTTAAGGGAACCCCCTCACCCATGGGCAGGGAATAGGCATGTAGATCAAGTTGCCTCCCAAATGGATGCCCCAATTGCTTTCATACCATAAATAAAAAAAATGATAATAAAAATCCTACTGCCCTCAGTCTGGCCACCCACCTAAGCAATCCCAATAGCTAGGATGAACCACAGTAGCAGTTAGGAAAGGAGCTTCATGCTCCAAATGAAGGAGCAACCTCCCCTTTTCACCCTCCATCCCCTGGTGGGATGCAAAACGGGGTTCTTGGTAAGCTTCTAGTATGCATCACTAGTATCTAGTGATGCAAGTATACTCAAGATAAGCTGCAATCTGAGAGAAGAAACAAGATAACTGTTGGATGGCACTGTTCAGTCTTAACAGCATTTTGAGATTGTTCAAGTCTCAAGCACAGTACTCAAGTCTGAACCGTGGCCCAAAGGTGGACAAGTGGCAGGTGTGGGACTCTGCAGGTAAACAAGAATTCAGAGAATTGCTGGCAGTCTATTACAGTAACAGGAAGAGAACAACAACAGCTGGTACAGACAAAGGATTGTTGGGAGGGTTTATACAAAGTTTTCACTGCTTTAGGGAACAGAATTGGATGGCAGGACGCCATACAGGAGAATCTTGGAAAGCTTGGAATTGCTTCCAGAGTCTTCTTGGAATTGCTTCCAGATTAATCTTTCCTTCCCTTTTCTTTTTGAGAGGATATTGGCAAAATGAACCTCCCACATGCAGAAGAGAAACTGAAGTGGAGCACTTAAGAAAAATAATGAAAGGACACTTCATAACGCGTTCTCTGCAATAGCTAATCCCCACCTGTGACCATTAACAATCAATTAAATGGGTTGAACCAACAAGGAGGAAAATTGAATTAAAATTGCTGGAAATCTTTGATGAACCGTGCTCCTATGTGATTGATATTATAGGAGGAATGTGCAGGAAAAGCTCTGGGGTGGCCGCAAAATTGCTGCCAGTGCTTTATTCCTCCTCCTTCTTCCTCTTTTCTTTCTAGTGATTTGCTTTTCAACATTTGATTGTCATTTCCTCCCTCCAGGGCTTGGAGAAGGACCATATATTCTCAGCAGCTATGCTCAGAATGATACGGTTATGGGAGTCAACATCACCAGCAGGAAGATATTTCCTTTGCCAAGAATTAGTACCAGTGGAAATGTATATTTTAATTTTATGCTAACTCCTCCACTTTTCAAAGATAGAACACAGTGTAAGTTTTATGTATTTTCACAAGTCAATGTAAAGAGAACCTTAGGTATTGTAAAAAAATATTTGTCTTTGTGTACAAAAGAATAACTTTCAGTAGGACATCATTATGTAACAAGTAGCTTCCGACACTCTGCAAAGGCGCAGAGCTGCCTGGGTGGGAATCTTTGCCCACCCACTCAGAGAGCGACAGGCAGGCCTGGCTCAATGTCAGCTTTTAAAACAGGCCTAGTGGCCTGCTCCATCTTCTTCCCTGCCTGACGAGCAACCCACCGTCCCACCCGGGGTAAGCATGAGAGTAGCTGGTTGCTTCGGGGCTGGATGGGAGTTTTTGACCTGCACCAAATTGGCTCTCTAGGTGGTTTTTCGTCCATCCCATTCTTATTCCCAGGGAGCATATGGGAGCTACGTAGGTCACTGGCAGTACAGTCCTGACAGTGGGGACTGCTAAACGGGATAGGTTCAGGTGAGTTCCAGGTGGGCGCCCAGAGGGTGCAAGGGATCCCTCCTCTCAGAATTGCATTTACAGAGGTTTGGCTGAGAGGATAGAAAACAGGGAGACACCAGGGGACGTTGGGTACTTGGAGTCTAGAGACTCAGGTAGATGACAGCCCTGGGTACTCCGGGTGGATGGCCAACAGCATCCTGTCAGGGTAGGAACTCCCAGGGGCAAAGGTCTGGACCAGTTGATTGAGAACGACAAGGGTTCCAGACCTGCTAGCACTACGGTTGACGCCCTTGTAAAAAGGGATGGCTAGAAGTTAAATAGTTAATAACTTTGTGGCCCTAGATTTAACCCACATTATTGTGTCTTATCTCATTATTTTGGGTTGGGTGGGCAATGATGATTTACTCTTACCACTGATGGGTATTAACTTCATTTGTAGCAGCAGTCTCTCTGGTTTCAATTGAATCTGCTGAAAGGCCAAACTACTTTCTATATGTTCATGATGATGAAAACATTGGCTTAGAGCAATGGGATACCAGCTCATCTTTTCAAAGAAGAGCAACTTTTTTCCATCACCAAGGTCTTTGGATGCCAGGTTATAGCGCCTTTGAGCTGCATAACAAGAAAGGCTTCTTCATCATATTCAGCCCATCTGCTGTGAAAATATCAAAGTATGATGATTCTGAGGAATTCAAAGATTCAAGCAGCTTCAGTATAGAAGGTGAGTAACACATTGTATGGGGAAGGGTGAATGGGGACACCCCATATTTACTACTTATCAGGTTAGCATGAAACAGAATGTTCGCAGCCACCCATTGGGTAGGGGAAAAATAAGCATGGGTCTATTTTGTATTCCATTTCCTCTTAGACATCAGTTCCCCTTTCTGACTGGAGTAATTCTATGCTTCTGAGCTAAGACTTCTCTTTTCAGGCTGCTGCTTTTACTCAATATTTTTTTGTGCCTTTAATACTCTGTATGTTCACATCTTACATATATACACCATGGAAGTATTGTTCAGTGTAGTTCAACCATCATTGACCTTGGATCCTCCATGCCTGATTCAATGCCAAGAAGGGGAAATGTGCGGTGCTTCTGATCTTGTTGGACAGCAGCTCTCACATTCCCTATTCATCAGGCTGTGTGGGCCAGAGTTGATGACAATCACAGGCCAAAAACATCTGGAGGGCCTCTCATTTCCCACTCTTATTCTGCAGTGCACAAAGAATGGAAGAACAAAGTATGCAGCGGCCTCATCTGCTATACAATAGAAGTGAGTTCATGTTAATGCTTAAAATACATATTCAGAGTCCTGCTGGGAATGTACTCTGGACTAAGTGAAACTGCCTAGGTTGTGGAGCAAATTGCTGCTAGTTGATAAGGTGTCTGGTTGTATATTTGGTCATGTGCTGGGAAGGCAACCAAGACCTTGTTAATTGGCTGCAGTTGATGCTGTGTAAAATCCCAGTAGAATTCTGACTCCTGTTTGCAAATAGGGATGTTTACTGGGGACATCAACTCCTTCTTTGTTTTTCCTTTATACTCTATTTCTCTTTCCCTGTCAGAATTAACTCTTGGAAACAGTTTGCCTCCATTTACAAAATACAACATTCTTATTATTTCTTAGAACTCCAGATAGCAGTACCTTATAGGAGGATATGTGAGTGGAGATATGAACCATGTACAAGTCCTTGTGTTAAAACTTGTAACGATCCTGAAGGGATAGCATGCAAATTTCTTCCTCCGTGAGTATCTTCACAGTACATGAATTCACAATAATCTGGCAGGTGTATCCCCCTTCCAGATCAAAAAGCTCAGTCTCTGCTGGGCTGAAACTACTCTTGTTGGTTTTTGTTTTGGTGGGGTGCATATGGAGGGAATCAGCAATTGATTCTTTTTGTGTGTGGAAGACTGGGAATCTCAGTTCTGGGATCCCGGACTCAAGACAGATGTCAAGGTTGAGCATGAGTTCAGAGCAAAGTTGGGAATAGTAACTTTTTGAACTACACTCCCAGAAGTTCCTCTAGCATCATGAGTGAAATGCTGTTTGGAGATTCTGAGGGTTACAGCCCAAAAAACAAAGTTTCCAAATCCTTGTTCAGAGCCACCCTGTTCCTTAATTTCCACTGCTCTCTCTAGCTAGCGGTTTTCATTTGTATCTTGTTGATGTAGAAGTATCATTAAAAATGAAATTAGATGTCCACTCTTCCCTGATATATTGGATTAATGAATCCAGCTCTCTTGGCTGTCACACATTTTATATCCAGGTGGAAATTCAGAACAGGCATCAAGTTAATGAGCTCTTTTTTGGTTGTGGAAAGTATTAAGAGAGTAGCGAGATAATCAACCCAAGTGATTTCCATGAGGGAATTTCTTGGCTCTGCGAACAGTTTTTGCTGTGAAAGGAAGATCATAATGCTAAAACTGTTACTTTCAGAATGTTTATATTTTAGATTACCAGTTCACTTGCCCTCCTGTTCACACAAACCAATGATTTTGAAGTAAACATATCAAATCTAATGTGTTATTTCCAAGCTCTGATTGAAATGAATGTGAGGGTTTTGTTTTTGTTTTCTTTCCTCGCCTGATTCTCAGTTAATAATAATGGAGGGACTGTGAGGAATATCATAGAACAGGAACCACTACCAACTATTCCAGTACCATTACTAAATCTTACCTTTTTAAAAAACAAATACTGGCTGTGTGCTTTTGCTTAGTGTAGCAAGTCACAACTAGGGGAGGCCTGTTTGATTCAATTCAACTTTTCCATAAGTTGGAAGCTTCTGGAACTCATCCAGTATTGATTCATCAAATCCCCACGGATTCAGTGGGCCTACTGTAGTGCAACTTACTACGCTAAGCAATGGCATTTCAGCCAGTATCCTGCATTGTCCTAGGCAAAAGATGCCTTTTAAAGAGTTAACTAATGGAATACAAGTATCATCAGAAGGACTAGTTTTCAACCAAATCCCACCGGAGTCCAGTGTTTGAAATTATATAGAATCCTGCAAACACTTACTTTTTAAAAAGATGGCAACATAATTATTTGGTACTTCATTTTTCTTGAACCTTTTATTTGTAGGGTTGAGGGATGCATACCATATTGTCCTAGAGGAATGATTCTCGACGAAGTCACAGTGAAATGTGTTTACCCAGAAGACTGTAAGTGTCTCACATAAAACTTCCCAGATTGCAGCATTAATACAATGGGAATTGGCTGCCAGCAATATCATTCAGTCACCTGTGTTCTAATGCTGATTAACTGTACACAAAATGGACTCTACCATTTACAGTTCCTCTTTTCTCTAACTTACACACCCTTAATCCTTTGTGCAGGTGTAATACTGTTAAGTTCTATGGGTCATTTCTTTTACTTAGATATCTTCAAAACTCTAGAATATAATATCAATTTAATAGCATATACATGAATTCACTATGTTGATTCACCCCTCTGACACAAACATATAGAAATTATAATTAGACATAGTTGGCAAGGGCCTTTGCAGTCAAAATGGCAACAGCAGCTCTGGGGTCTTCAACTCTCCTGCTCTTTCTGATTCAAATCTCTTACAGCCCCACTCTTTGAAGAGTAGGAACACCTGAATTTAGTCTTCTCCAGCCTTGTGCCAAAACATTTGGAGGGCAGTATTCTTCTTTTTCCTTTTTTAACAGGTATCCCTGTGAAACCTACTGAATCTTCATATGGGACAAAGTCACTGAAAACAACACCAACATTACTAAATACCTATGTAGTAAATGCAACAGAAACATCTCCTCAGACATCTCTGATATTTGTCACTGACAGAGTTGAGTCAACATATATTAATCAAACTACCAAAATGACAACAGGGAGAATAGCAACTACAGAACATACTGACCTTTATTCAGCAGCTGCATCTCATACAAGCACTTCTTTACCTGACTTATTACAAATTCCACAGCATGCCTTTGAAGACAGCTACGGCACTGCAGTGCTACCTGTGCTTCTTGAACCTACATCGCCAGCAGCTTTCCCAACTACTTCAGAGATCTCCACTACCAGTGCAAAAATAACATCTGACAGTACAAGTCCTGCTTTCCTTATATCTTTGCCCTCTGCATTGACAGCTGTACCATCATTTCCTCTAACAACAACATCAACCACACCACTAAAACTTGTAGCCTTTTCTGCTACACCAACTACATCACCTGTTGGGGAAGGTTTCACCACTATTAAAATACCTATAAGCACATTAATAACCAAAGGTCCTTCCATAAACCATTCTCAGGAGGCAATAGCTGCAACTTCACACTTTTTATTAACAGAGAGACCATCTCTTCCAAGTCTGATGTCATCTACGAGGTCAGTGTTACCACAAACATCTACTGCAACTTTGAGAACCTCACCTGGTCTGTCAGCAGATACAACCGTGTCTTTAACTCCTGTATATACTTCTAGATTTTCTGAATTTGTTACAAGTCCTCTTTCTAGTACCTCAGTTTCAGATTTTATGACAATTCAAACTGACTCTAAAACAGGAACTAAAACATTGCTGCCTACATCTGTACTATCACTGAAAACACTTCCAACATTTTCTGAACAAATTACTCCCTTAACTAGAAAACATTTTTCTATGGTTAAAGATACAGTCAGTAGAACATCATCTTCAATTGCTTCACAAAGTGCTGCTGCCACTTGGTCTTCACTGGATTCTAGTGCAACACATACAGTATCTACAGTCACATCTCAAAAACCCAGAGCAACTGGAGATATTACAGTCATCTCAGAGAGCTTTCATATAGGACTTTCTACACCAAGCGTACACCAAACTTCCAAATCATTTTTAACAACTACAGTTTCAACAGAAAGTGAACACGTGTTGCGTACAGATTTATCTCCGGTGCTGACTATTTCTGTAAGTTCATTAGAGTCTGCTGGTACCAGGGCTTCACCTAGTAACACTTCAGTGCCACCTACAAAGGTTTTATCTGGTACAGCACAAACAACTTCTAAAACAAGTATGCACATGTTTGACTCACATGCTGAATTAAGAACATCGTCGTTAGTGAAAAGTGTAGATATATTTGCTGCTTCTTCAAAGTTTCCAAGCACTTTATCTGCTTTTACAAGTCCATCCATGTTACTTACAGAATTAACAACAAGACCATCCATTCCTCACTCCGTTTCAACATCTCGTTCTGAAAGTTCATCAATGAGTCCCACAACTGGTACAACTGTGATACCAGCTACCACTCACATCCAAATGCCACTTGTATCACTTAGTGAACAAGCTACCTCTGCAACAGAACATTCCTATCCTACAGCCTCTCCTTCAGCTGATCTTTCATTAAATTTAAGTGCAGATACTTTGGCAATACGTACTGCATCTTTACTTCCTCTGAAGGTCTCTGACATGCCTATGATGCCCTTGCAGACTACAAGTTTTTTGACTTCCTCAGTGGATGAGAAAGTATTATCTTCATTAGTCAGTACTTCCAGCTCTCATTCTCTGCAGTCAACAGTGGAGCCAACAACAGAGCCAACATTTACGGCTGTGCTTTGGAATAAGACATCAGTTCCAGTATATGACACTGAGAAGTACTCCCTTAGCTCTTCAGTAACTTCACTGCTTTCTTCTGCTGGCACAATAGCACTTCACAAAACTTCACTAATCACTGAACTCTCTCCTGTCAGTTTGGAATTTCACACAGTTACTACTTCAGTTCCAGTTCTTGGTACCTCCCAAACATCTTTGCAAGCTTCACCAGAAGCCTTCAAAACTGTACCCATCAAAATAGATGAAGTGACTACTTCAAATTGGACAGGAGTGGAAATGACAGAGACTTCGGACCTTAAAAATGCAACCTCAGAAATACCAGGAAATGTCACAAAGTATGCAGCCACTGAGGAGGCTCTGCTATTTCCCATTCATATGACCTCATCTCTCAGTAAAAGCAGTACAGTCTCAGTGAAAGCTGTCTCTCTTTCTGATATGACAGATATGACATTATCTGATTGGTCTGGAGTTCCTCCACCAAAATCAATTAGACCTTACTACACAATGACTGAACCAGAGCAGCAAAGAGGCATCAGCCTGGAGAATGTCACAGTGGCAGTGTCATCTCCCTCCCCTGAAGAGCTTTTAGGAACCCAGACATCAGAGGCAGAAATAGGAACGGTGACAACAGAGACAGTGGAATATGCTCCATTTGGAACAATGATGCATACTATAGTGTCTGCAACATCCTCTGAATGCACAGTAAGAGCATTTTTGTCTGCTTATTTGTTTTTTCAAGTTTTTAATAGCAATTTTTTCTTTTATATTACACATTGTTTTCGCCTGCTTTCATTTACATTCACTTAAACACCTCTGTTTTTATGCTGAAGTGCTAGATCTGTTGCTTCAGTAGCCAGTTCTTCACAAATAAATTCACTGCATGTTAGCTGCCCTGTTTCCCCTATATCAAGTTAGCCTTCAAGGGGTGTTTTTTTAAAACTTTTATTTATAATAAAAGACACTTGCTTTACGTCCAGTTCTTCACAAATAAATTCACTGCATATTAGCTGCCCTGTTTTCCCTATATCACGTTAGCCTTCAAGGGTGTTTTTTTTAACTTTCATTTATAATAAAAGGCACTTGCTTTACATTCAGTCATGCTTCTTATCTACAATTATCATGAGACAATGTTTGTAAGGATAGTTGTTCAGATCACAATACCTACAGCTTGGATTGTTATTTAACTGGATTTTTAAAAACAGCTATTGGGTGAAGTAGATGATGCACTTATTGAAAATTAGGCAGGTCGTGCTACCAAAAGAGGTGGAAGAGATCTGTTTGCCATAGCATGTGGTTCCCTCACCTCTTTGTCTTGCATTTCTGTGTGGTTTATTTTGTAATTGATCTTTGGAAGGTAAACATGGGCTTAATTTGCAAGTCTGTTTGCCAACGCTTATGTCTCTCAGAAATTACCTTATGGGAGAAAAAATGGATCATCCAAGGGACTGCATGTTTCCTTTCACTTCTAATTTCATCCTCAAAGAAATGTCTTGGACAGGAATAGTGCACTTTGGTTTATGAAATAAAACAATGATGTTAATGGCTCCATTTTCCCCTCCCATTATCATGGAACAGCCACGGTATCTTGACCCAGTAGACAGATGCAGTCAGTACGTGTGCATTAATATGGGATGGATGCTGTACAACCTTTCAGAGAACTGCCATAAGAATGGGGAGAAACCTGACTGTGGTTTTCGAGGAATGCCTGTTCAGATTAACAGTGACAGCTGCTGTCCAGAATGGGAATGTCCTTGTAAGTCTTTGCATGGATTACAGCATGTTTTTAATGGCCAAGTCTGAAACCTGGTTTGCATTTTGAAACGAAGTGTAATTTAGAATTCTGAGACCCATCATGAACCATGTGCAAAAAAAAGTTGATTGAAAACAAGCTTGTAATATAGGCCTTAGGTCTGGATCACAAAGGGTAGACCCATCAAGATCAGTAAGATTTGACTAACTTTCTTGGGTCTATTGTATGTATGAGAAAATGTGGAACTAGTGCAACTTTTGTCATCGTAGGGTCAAGCCAAACAGGGTATTCCGTTGAAAGGATTAGATAACAAACTCTGTGGCACATAAATTGAGGTAACACTCTGTGAGAAGGGAAATTGTAAATCTCAGTTTGCGACACTTGCTACACTATCATTTCAGACCTGTACACATTCATATGGAAGTAAATCCCATTAAACGTAGTGGAGCTTACTTTTGGGAAGTGATGGGATTGTATAATTAGGACTGGTTTTCACTGAAGTGGCAAACCTGTTTGGCCTGTATCACTGCAAAATGTTTCTTCATACCAGAAGAAAACAAAAACTTCTCCACACAGGAAACCTGATCTTATAGAAAAGATTTTCTCTCTCATTAAATGTTCAAAGTGCAGGGATTTACTCCTGTTGCTTCCATTCCTGTGTTAGGCTGGAGATTGAGATAGGGAAGGAAAGCACATTTTAAAAACACAAGATGTTATTGGATGGAAACAACCCTAGGGGTGTATGTGTGTGAAATAGCCTTTAAATGGCAAATTTTCCTGCAGCTTTTGGGGTGTGTGATTTGCCATTTTGAAAGGGAATCTGGCTTTTCTGTATGGGGGATTAGGAGGGGGTTTGGAGCCACTGTGAGGAGTAGACTGCATGTGACCTGTGAGCAGCATTTTTCCATGTCCTGTCTGCTGTTGGAAGTGGTGGATGTCAGACACTGATGTGCTCTTTCAGTGAAAAAAATAAACCCTAATGAGCCATTCACATATAGCAGTCCCTGATGCAGAACCTTTGGCCAGTGACACTGCTGTAAACCATTCTTACCTATACATGTGTGGCAATGTATTTGAAATTCCAGACAGATATCTATTGCACACAAACTACAGAACAGTCTCCATGCAATGAGAAAACATGTCCAATATACCATAATCCCTCCTTCATAGGCTATATTGTCTGACCTTAGAGATTTGCTCTGTATGTCAAGGTGAACATGAATGCTGAGCTGGAGTCAATTAAGTCAGAGTTACTGTGAGTTAGGTTGAAATATGTGGGTATCATATACCACCCACTCCACAAGTTCTACAGTGAACCCTTGACTTATAGATGGCTCCTCTTACTGACTTTTCGAGACTTCTCTGGCAGCAAAATTTAGGTTCGACTTGCAGCTGGAGAATCGACCTACAGACCAGAAAAAAAAAATCAAAATGGAACAAAAAACGGCCAGTTATAGATTAATCAGTTTTCAATGCATTGTAGGTCAATGGATACTCGACCTACAGACTTTTCGATCTATAGCCAACGTTCCAATACGGATTAATTCTGTAAATCGAGGGTCCACTGTATTGATAGTTTTGACACTGACCATTAAAACAACATTTCATCAATTGGTGATGTCTACAATTCACCTCCCCATTTCTAGTCTGACAGCATTCTTGTTTTTGTGTGACAGGTGACCACAGAGTCTGACAGCAGTCTTAAATGAAGAAGAAATAGATAGGAATCTGTTTTAATTGCTCGTACTATTCAGGGGAATGGAATCTTGGTTTCTTGTTATCATCCAGCTGCCTGAAGACCCACCTTGTGCTGTTTTGCCCTGTCCCTCATACACATACACCTTTACAAGTGAAAAAGGAACTCCTACATAAAGGATCTTGGGCAGGAAGACATTGCACATTATTTTGAGTAACATGGCAAGAAGGAAGAAATATGCCTGTTTGTCCTGCATGTAAGGACTAGCACAGGTGGTACTGAAAGAACTAGTGACTCTTTTATTGAGAATAAATAAATCTAGGAACTCCTACATAAAGGATCTTGGGCAGGAAGACATTGCACATTATTTTGAGTAACATGGCAAGAAGGAAGAGATATGCCTGTTTGTCCTGCATATCTCTGGTACTGAAAGAACTAGTGACTTTTTTATTGAGAATAAATAAATCTGAACAATATGTAGTAGTAGGGCAGACATTTATGGAGAATCATAAACCATTCTCTTATGCCGAGGTTCCTTTTTCATCTGAAACAGTGTGTGTGGATGAAGGTCGATGTGCAAGAAGGGCCTTTATGAAGTTGGCTGGCACCTTCTCCTGCACTTATTTCATTTATGCTTCAAGCAAAAATTTCATGTTACAACATTAGCCATATGAACCCTCTGTAGCTTGTATGTGGCTTCTGAGAGTGCTGTATGACTGTTCTTTTCTCCTCCCTGTCTCCCAGTCTGAGGAAAATTACATCATTCTGTAAAGTGCACAGTAGTTTCATATTACACGATACGCCCTTTCTCCCTGCTCTCAAAGGGCTTTCCGCCCGACATCAGAGGAAGCCCTTTGAGAGCTCCAAAGGTGCTGATCGCGGTGGCAGGGACCCCTAGGGAGGTCTCCCATGGTGGCGGGCAAACCCTGGGAGACCTCCCTGGGGGTCCCTGCCACTGCGATCGGCACCTTCGGAGGTCTCAAAGGGCTTTCCCCCCAACATCGGAGGAAGCCCTTGTTTGAGACCTCTGAAGCCAAAAAGGCAGGAAGAAAGGGTGGATTATTGGAATTCCCAGCCCTTTCTCCCTGCCTTTTAACCTTTTGAAATGCTGGAATGGATTAATTCCGTTCCCATGCATTTCAATGGGAAATGGTACTTCGACTTATGAACTTTTCGACATACGAATGTCGTTCCAAAACGGATTAAGTTCGTAAGTCGAGGGACCACTGTATTGCTACACAAGCATGTGCCTGCTGAGTATATGTGAAGCTATCTTAAGAAACTACGGACTTATTGAAACTTGATTGGGAATAAGCTGTACTGAAATCAGTGGGATTTCAGTGTAACACCAGTGTAACTCCATTGGCTTAAATTTCAGGAGTGATTTGTCACCAATTAATTCACTACTGAGAAATGCACAGATATAATGCATAAGTAGAAAAAAACAAGTGATGACTTCTTAACTGCTAGCAATTCACTGCTGAAATGTATGTCACTGGAGTTACACCATTATAAAAAATAGGATTCAGGCCTATAGGTTGCTATTGACCAACAGTCTTTATTATTTCTCAGTCCTGTGAATGTTGTGCACATGTGGAATATTGCCCTCTACTGTGAATAATTAAAAAAACATGACAGCACTTGACAGGTCTTGTTTTCTTGTGATCTCATTAACTGTCCATTCTTTTCTAGGCCAATGTTCTGTCCTGTCAGAACTGAGCATCATTACATTTGATGGAAATAATCTTGCACTGTATAAAGTAGCTTCCTATATTTTAGTCAAGCTACCCACGGAAATTATTGTGGCTCATATTGAAAAATGCCCCACTAATCAGGTAAGGAAACATGAGTATTGTTATATAATATTAAGTATTGTAGTCAATGATTTCACAGCACTAGCACAAAACCTATTGCACACTAGCAGCTGTACATTTTCACAGGCACAAATATTTGCACAAGCAATTGTAACTACATTAGTGGGAATTTTCATTTAGCCACTCTTATGTTGGATACAGACCTAATATTTTAGATCTTTTTAAAAATTGGTTTTACAATACTCAAATAAATATTCATATTGCTGTATTTATTAAAATATATCTGTAATGGTAAATAAAAATAAGAACTAAATGCTAGAATCCTGTCAATTATTCCCACCAGTGTAACTCCAGTGTTGTAAATCTCAGCTGCTAATTGCTGCAAGTTAAAGAGTTGTTGTAGGTGTTGGCTGTGACATACTAGTTGTGTGAACTGAAGCACTGTAGTGAATGCCTATACAGTACTAACTTCTGAACATGCATCAGTTTGTAGCTGAATCTTATAGCAATGGAGTTATGCTAGTGTAATTTTCCAGTTGGATTCCACACATGATGTTTTTGTTATGTATTACAGTCCATCATGGAATCTTTGGAACAAAATTGTGTATGTGATTCTAAAAGATTCTGAAATGCAAACATTAAGTATTAAACATTAAAACACCTCCTCCAGAATAAGCCCAGCTGAGGTCAATGGGGCTTATTCCCAGGTAATCTTTAAAGGAAAGCAGCCTCATCTCTTTTTTTTAAGGGTAGTCATGGAATCAGATTTATAGCAATACTTGTTCTATTCAGCCAACTTAAGAAATTGTAAATAAGATATTCCACGGTGAATTACAGCAGCTCTTATAATAACCCTGGAATTTTGCCACTTCATATACAGCAATTCTAACTTTGTTTTATAACTGTTTTTCAGAGTGCCAATTCCATAAGAAAGCTAGTAAGTATTTTTCTAAGTATGATCTCAAATATCTGTGAGTGTGCAGTAGTTAGTTCTGTTTGTTAATTTAACTTCCTAAACCACGTACTGTATGCCTTTTTCTTTTAAGGTGCCCCTTGGAAGTGCTTCAGGTCTCTGTTTTAAGAAACTGAATGTAACAACACCTTTGTATACAGTACTTATCAACCGTTTAGCAAGAAAGGTGATTTGTGAGTTAATAATATTTAAACTAAACAATGTTTCTAGTATAAATGTAATTGAAGAGATAGTCCAGTAGATACAGTATATGAATATTCTGGAATATGACAAATGTGCTTTAACACAACGCTGAGTTTCTTTTACAGCGGATCTTCCATGTATATAACACAGGTTTCTGTGGTTTTAGTTTCAGCTCTATTATTCTTAGCTACACATGTTTATTTTTTTTATTGGGGGAAACTTTCTTTTCATGGTGCAGTGATTTACACTACAGTACTGCAGTCAAGACCCTGCTCACAACCTGAGTTTGATCCCAACAGGCTCAGGAAGCCAGGTCAAGGTTGACTCAGCCTTCCATCCTGCTGAGTTTGGTAAACTGCATAATTCAATTGCAAATAGCCCACCTACAGTATGGGGTGGTGTATAAGTAGCACACTTTGCTTTTGATCTTCTCCCCATTTCTTTTTGTAAAGGGCTCTCTTGGAGCTGAGATGACTCTTCCTCCTCCTCCTCCTCCTCCTTAGCTGTTTCCATGCCCAATTCAAGGTGCTGGCCATGACATATAAAGCCTTTGTTGGTTTAGAACCTTGATACTTGGTGGAACATCCCTCCCACAAAATAGCTACTGGTCCCACCTGCTCCTTGCAGTCCTTGATGTTAAAAGTTGTGGCACCCAAGGAGGCTGAAAAAGCTAGCACCAGGAACATAACTTTCTTAGTCATGTCCCCTTCCCTCTGGAATGAGCTTCTTACACAGGTTCTCCAGGCTCCACCCCTCTCAGTTTATAGCGGGGCCAATCAAGAGGCCTCTTTCAACTTAATTATTCTATGATTCTATATTTGGATTCCTCTCTTGAGCAGGAGGTTGGCCTTGATGGCTTTATAGGCTCCCTCCAACTCAGTTATTCTATAATTCCATGATTCTAAAATGGAATTATATAAAGCTACTTTCTACTAGTGTTGAACTATTTACATAAGCTATTCCAATGTGTTTTAATTTGCATAATTCTATTTAAAGTTAGGTTGACTGGTTTAGCAAGCAAGAGGATGTTTATTGTATTTGCAATTCAGTCCCATTGCATACAGTTTGATAATGTATATAAGGGACCTCCCACAAAGAGCAAAAGAGGGCTTCCTCCATATCATTTCATTTCTGAAAATGTGGCATGGGAAACCTGCTCCTTTGCTTTATGGGGTTTATTGCAGTTGTCTTGAGTTTGCCATTCATTATAGCAGAAATACTGACTAAGAAGTAACATTGCATCTTGCAGTTCAAAAATGTGCTTCCCATTTATGTAATTTTTTATTATTATTTTAGGTAGTTGTGAATTCGGTTATTCAGTCTTTACCCTTCTCAAAACATGGATTATGTATTCAAGACACTGGTGCTATGTATGTAATCAATACACCAGCTGGCATCAATATTAAATGGGCACATGTTACTGGTATCATAGATATCCAGTATGGCTTTCACTCTAATACATCTTCCAAGACAGAAGGACTTTGTGGTGAGAATATGTATGGTCTTAAATCTTTGTTATCCTTATTTTGGAGTCTTAGAATTTTATTTTTAAAGAAGTTATAGTTTGCTTTGCTTTTGGATGCCTTGCCTTTCAGTTTTTTTAATTCCTTGATTTTAGTGAATCCTTCCCTCTCTGCCATGATTATCCTACATACTCCCAATAAAGCTTGTGTCTTGTTGAGGCTAACATAAAAGATAATACACTCTTGTGAACAGAGGAAAGGATCTGTATTATCTGCATTAATTAGGACACAAAGAGGATGATCTCCCTAAGCTTTTCTGTCTGAATCAAGTCCTCTGTTCCACAAGATTGTTTTTCTATGTTCCTAGAACTGTTTAAATTAGCAAAGAGATGGTAGCAACTGTGTTATTAACAATCATGAAAATGCTTTGAAATATGTAAATGAAAACAATCTGATCAGAATCTTGAATGGTTGATACCATTGAAAGTGTGGAGAATATTGAATTTTGCTGTACTTTTAATCAATCCTATTGCTGTAAAAAAAGTGTGTCTCAGAAGTCAGTACTGTACATCTATTATTTTCAGTATTGAACAGAGTTGGCTTTTATTGAGTCACACCAATGATCACCTGAGGCTATTATTGTCCACCTCAACCAGCAGCCCATTCCAGAGTGTCAGGTTGAGATACAAATATTATGTTCTTAAGTTTTAATCCTTAGGCATTGCTGGGGAGGTAGTATTTTACTTATCATGACATATATTTGAGAAAAAGTCTAAAATGCATTGTTGAACTTGCTCTTTTCAGTTATAGAAGTAGGGCTATATGATAAGCCAACAGAAAAGAAAGGGAAAGATCAAGATTATCTATCAGAGAGATGCTGTTAGAACTTGGATCTTTGTCTTTGCTGTCTATCATATTTGACATTTTGTATTATTTGGTTCAGGTGTCTGTAATGGTGATCCAGTTGATGACCTGAAGATGCAAAATAGGACAATAATTACCAACATGGAAGAAATTGAGGTTTTTATTAAGAGCTGGGAAGTTGAGAAATCTGTTGATGTAGCAACAAGAAGACTTGTAAGAAACTGCACTGAAGATAATTGTACCTATTGTATGGAACTCTTACAGAGATGGGTTTTTGCTCCCTGTCACAAAAAAGTAAGTACAAAAGAATGAGTGATTTTATGTGTAGAAGATCAAAGCCACTAAAGTAGGATATGCTGACCATAATCCTATTGGATATTTACAGCTTGGAGTAGTGAACAACCGCTAATTAATGACTCACTTATTAGATTCCTAGTCATACGCTGAATCACAGAGTAAGTATGCGAATTGGAATTCCGTGGCGGACTCATTAAATTAGTGCTTATCCACCACTGTGTGCAGGGAGAGGATGCTTAGGTGTAATCGTGTCAACCGTCCGGGTCATCTCCCTATTCCATAGGCTGACCTGAGCTTCAACAGGAACTCCCACCATATCAGACGGATAATCCCCCAGAGCGTTCAGGAAACCATCTGGATCCATTAGTCTCCAAGGGCGGATCATCTTAATAGATCCCCCACCCTTGCAGAGGGAAGAAGAAACTAATAGACTAAACTTGACCAGGAAGTGGTCTAACCATGACAATGGGGTCACAACCAGCTCCTCCACATCCAAACCACCATCTTCTAGTCCTGTTAAGAATTTTAACTATTATATAAAATAAAGTCAATAAATTTCATTTGTATGCATCTGGCCTAATATTAACCAATTAATTTACTCACTTGAAATTGGGAAGAATAGGGGAAGAGTCACTCCTTCAGAGTTACTGCATTTTTCCTTGTATAAGATGCTACTTTTTCCTAAAATCATTACACTAAAAATTGAGGGACATGTTTTACATGGAAGTAAGCTGAGATAGCTGAGGAGAGAACAAAACGGCACATACCGTTTACTCTGTAATCAGGCTTCCTTCAGTTACGAGGCTTAGCTTCCTACAGTCAGGAGACTGGGCTTCCTCCCATCATGAGCCTTATGGATGCTGTACAAACCAATTGGAACACACCTCATTGGAGGTGGAGCCTGTAAGCTCAGATTGAACAGGGACTCAAAATGTCTGATGTTCTGAGCCCAGAGGCTGAATCCTGAAAGCTACGTTTTATTAATTTTGGGGTTTAAAAAGTGGTGGGGGATCTTATAAATGGGGGCATGTTGTAAACAGAAAAATACAGTATATTGGCGAGTATCCTGTTCATGCCAGTGTAATGTAACACCAGCATAAATGTGCCAGGAGTTATGCCCAGTAATAACGGATTACACTGTGCAATTGTACAGTGACAAATTGTGCAATGCAGCATGGAAGTGCCTTGGAGATTGCACTTCCATTTCAGTCATTGTACAACTGTCAGTTGTGCAAGACTGAGTTGTGTGCACGTACTGTAGTTGTGCAACTGGATTTTGGCCAATGTCTTATAAGTTGAATATAGAGAAATATTTGATCTAGGAGTGTCTAATAAGGAAAAAAAAGAGTGCTAAAGCATGTACGTCCTTGCAAATGGAAGTAAAAGACAAAAGAACAAGTTTCTTTTTAGGGTGTGCATATTGTGCCTTTCAAAACGTGATGGAATTAAAATACAATAAATCTCAAGCCCATTACGGTAAAAATGAAGATCTTGATAGAGGATAAAACAGTGAATCAATCTGTATCAACAACTATGAAAATGGCACTACAGTAGGACCATGGTATCTGCAGAGGATCAGTTCCAAACCCTGCCATGGATGCCGAAAAATACGGACGTATCAAACACTATACATTACATGAGCCCTGGCAACCTTTAGTTGCCAGTTCTGGTAAATACACCCTGGAAATGCACACAAATACATATTTAGGGTGTGTAACGGGGGGGGTTTTGTGTGTGTTTTCCTGTGTTGTTTTTTTTTAGAAATGCACACAAATACATATTTAGGGTGTGGAAGGGGGTTTTTTTGTGTGTGTTTTTCTGTGTGTTTTTTTTTTTTTTTTAGTATTTTCAGGCCATGGACAAGTGAATCAGCAGATACTGATCTTGTGGATAGTACTGAATTTGTTTTATTTTTTTGTTTCAGTCTGTCCTAATGAAGACAAAGGAAAACTAGGGATGTGAATGGAACACTCATTAATCTATCTATTCACTTGAATGTAGGTTTCACCACAAGACTTTTGTGAGAAAATGTGGATCAACAATACATATTTTTGGAATTATGAATGTGATGCTCTTTCTGCGTATGTCGCATTGTGCAACAAACATAATATCTGCATTAAATGGAGAACACCAGATTACTGTTGTAAGTACTGTCTCCTTTGGTAATGTGTTAATTTTTTTAAGTTTTTTTTTTTTTTTACATTTAAAGAACATAAACCGTGGTAGGTACAAGTGGTGCCTTATTTGGAATACGAGTATTATATTTGGAAAAGGAGACCCAAATTCAAATCTTGCTTTGCTGAAGTTTGGTGGGTAATGTTTCAGTTGCTATGAGTAATCACTGTTGGTTGTTTATTAATTGCTGCCTTAATCATTGACAGTGGTGTGGCATTGGTCATTAGTAGTGTGTGTGTGCGTGTGTGTGTGTGTGCATGCACATACATGCATGATGAATGACATTTTCCCACCCTTCTACTGCCCCATATTTTGGAATAGGTATGGTTCTAAATGAGGATGTGAAGGTAGACACTACAAAACACTGCTTCTATAGAGGTGTATTTTTAAAAGTTGTAGCTGTGTTCATCTGTGCAAACATTTCAAGAAGAAACACAAAACAAAAGAAAAGCAAAAAAAAGAGACATAATTATTTAAAGACTAGCTGTATAATTTAATGTAAGCTTCCATGGAACCAGCCCACTTCTTCACAACCTCCCACCAACAACTTGCTTTAATCAAAAGGCACACCTTTGCTCCTTAAACAGTCACTCATTATCTGACCCCAACATAACTCACAGATTTTATAAAATATTAAAGTATTGAAGATACAGCAAATTGCAAGTAACACACATATGAGATAGTGTTCACCAGAACACTGATGATCTTGCTCTTGTACCATAGAGGTTATAAAACCTTACTATTATAGTTCTGGAGATTTTTTGAATATAATGGGATTTGTGACTTTGTAGTATTACTACTGCTTATTTTTTTCTGAATGTAGCATTAAGTTGTCCCAATGGGAAAGAATACCAGCCTTGCGTGCAACCCTGTGCAGCTAAAACATGCCTAAATAAATGGTTCTATGAAGAATCACCATGTTCCTACCTGAGAGAAGACTGTGTTTGTAAAAATGGGACCATTCTTCACAGAACAGACTCTGACCTCTGCATTCCAGAAGAAAAATGTGGTGAGTAAGCCTCCAGCTATGTAAGCACATTTTTCCCAGTTAGGCCCACACTTACTTTCCAGAAGGGCAGAGGCATGGTTTCTATCTCAGTCTTCCCTTTGTCCAAATAGAACAAAATTAATGCATTTACTAATGGGCTTCCCTAGGAAAGCTACTATTCATCTACAGGTTTGAAAATTACTGTCAGTCTGATCTTGCTTGTTTACACAGAAACAGGCCCCACTATGCTTAGAGGGATTTATCCCATATGTGTCTCTAGGGTTGGGGATTGTATTGGCTTCAGAGCTTACAGTACTATTATTGGTTATCTGGTAAGAATCCTTAAAGTGTGATTTCCAAAGTGGTGGATTTAGATTTGCTGCCTACCAAGCTAAAACGATATTTAAATATTACTAGAAAATTAGTTGCAGCCACAGAAGGAGGCACAATATACTGATATAGTACTTTTTAACCATTTACTTGGGGAGCAAAGTTTGTCAATACAAAGTCATCAGATCATATTTTGTTTTCCATGCTGTCTGTACTGTTGAAAGTGAACAGGTGTAAACCTCTTAAAGACACCAGGAACAGATAATAGTTGGGTTGTGTGCTGCAGTTAATCATATGGGCATTCCATGAATTGATCAAACTAATAGTCTTCATTATCTTGCAAAGAAGAAAAATAGTATCCGAAGTTGTGTATATTGGGAAGTATTTGGGCTACAGCTTCTTCGGTCCTGTGGTATTGACTTCCTATGGCTGTAGCCATAGGGAGCTGCAGTCCACAACCAGTAGCTGTCCAAAGTTATTGCATCCAATTGAAATAGTAGAGGCTGTGTACCTCTGAATATAAGAGACTTTCTTGCCTGGCTTGTGTGCATTAAGATATATTGAGTTGCCAGAACCTGGGAACACCACATTGGATTAGATGGAATTTAAACTGAGTCACTAAGGCAATGCTTAATTTCCACAGAGATTGACAAAGGCAAATTCATTCCTTTCATTGTGCCACAAAGCAAATAAATGCCCTGAACAAAGATGAATCAATCAAGAAATATGTTTATTACAGTCATATGACCTGCTCAGATGGACATCAACCTATTTACAAACAATACAGAGAAGAGCACTTTGTAGAACATTACTTTCTTTATTTTTTGTAGAACAATAATAAAAAAAAGATAGACCGTTACCATTATGTGGCTGGGTTGCCATATGATAGTGTCCTTAGTATCCTCCCAAGAAACAGAGGGAGCTATCTCAAGAATTCTGCAGAAAGTGGGTTGGAAATCTGATTTGACTTTCAACTTTTCTTGATTATCTATTTTATAAATTATAATTTTACTTTATTTAGCTTAGTTTATTTTCATTTCTCCTCCTTTTTCTATTATCATTTTATTATTTTAATGAGCCCAGTATTTTAAAGACTACTCTGCCAATCAACTACCTGGGTGTTGCCTGGTATGTCTTAGTGCCATATATATGTTTAAACATATATAAAAACATATATATGGCACTAAGAGATACCAGGCAACACCCAGGTAGCTGATTGGCAGATTAGTCTTAAAAATATTGGGCTCGCTAAAATAATAAAATGATAGAAAAAGAAGGAGAAATGAAAATAAACTAAGCTAAATAAAGTAAAATAAACCATAAAATGAATTAATCTGAGGGAAGCAAAAAAGAAAAACTCTTGCTACTATCCCACACTGGAACCAACAAAGATATTAGCTCTGGTATGTGCAAGGTTGTAGTCAATAAAATAAGTTATCCTGGTTTACATATAGAGTTAATAGAATAACACTCAAAGGCAATTGAGGAAAAATCCAAAGCCTTTAATTAGAAGCAGCTTATGTCAGTTCCCTGATATTTCTGAGCAGGCATGGTTTATTTTATGTTTTTCATCTGTAGCCTGTACTGATAATGACGGACACCCCCATACTGTTGGAGAGGTTTGGAATGGCTCCAATAAAGGATGCTGCATGTTTAAATGCTTGGAGAATGGGAGCATTGTTGCTGTAGAGCCTGAGTGTAATCAAGAGCCACCTCCAAAATGTGCAAGGGAAGGTGAAGTGATTATTAATGTAATTGAAGAAGGAGGCTGCTGCCCGAAGAAAGTCTGTGGTAGGTAATGTTTATGAGGCGGTGTTCACTTCTGACTTTATGTCTGCCTTGTGAGGTGGAGATGGATTCCTACAAGTAAAATAAATGCTGAGGTTATGGAAGAAAAGCATTAGCATAGGCGCTGCATTGTGGTTTTCAAACTTGTTGTGGGCATAAGTCATCAAAAGATGGGTCTCTGACCTGTATGAAGTGACCACCATTCAGATGTGCTGTAGGTGGGGAAGACAGTCTTGGGTTAAACATCAACCTCTCCACACCCTTTCAGGGAGAGATAGGACTTTGTTGTTGTTATTTAGTCATTAAGTCGTGTCCGACTCTTCATGACCCCATGGACCAGAGCACACCAGGCCCTCCAGTCTTCCCGTGCCTCAGTAAAAAATAAAACTAACAAACAACCCACCCCCCCCACACACACACACCTCAAACTTAAACATACTAAACAGGGCAACCGAAAGGCCTGATTGTACTCTTCTTCCCAAATGCACTATGGATATTTCCCTTGAATCCCAGGCTCATCTTGTGGGAGTCAGGTGTGAGCCAGTGTGGTGTACTGTTTACAGTGTTATGACTGGGTCCTGAAGTTCAAAGCTCAGGTCCCCACTAAGGCATGAAGCTCACTGTGGGGCATTCACTCAGTCATTCTCTGTTAGTCTGATCTACTTCACAGGACTGAGGATAAAGTGATGAGGAAGGGAGCCAAGGTGGTGCACCTTGAGGTCACTGCAGGGAAAGGCAGGTCAAAATGTAAAAAAAATAAATCATCAGGTAATATTCCATAGCTAGGTGATCAGCTTAACTTCCAATCCTCCCGCTGTGTCCTGAGTAGCTAGCTATGGAGGAAGTTCTTCTTAACTATGTTGTGATTCTATAACTCAGGCTTGTCTGCTTCCATTTTATGTGTACTGTAATATTGGTGCATTCAATATCTCAATTCTTTCTCCATGAATGGAGATTAAAAAGTCTTTAGCTACAGTATTGTCTGGTAGGTGAGTGCTGATGCTAGCATAATTTGCTCACTTCCTACTTTTGATATTGAATAAACAAGCAATGTTTTGGCTCCCAAACGGAACACATCCAAACAAAGATCATGATAATATATTAAACACTAATCTGAAATTCATTTATTATTTGAATAAAATTTATTTGTAGGAGAAATTTAAATATTACTGTAATAAATGATTCAGCCTTCATTTTCATTTTTAGAATGCAACACAAGTCTGTGTGACCCTGTTACACCAATATGCAAAAATACTGAGAAGCTGGTTGTGGGATACAACCCTTATTCTTGCTGTCCTCAGTACCGATGTGGTAAGTGATAAACAGATGTGTATACCTCTTGTGAATATTTTTAAAAATGACATAATTAACTGCTTTTTATGTATGTTTAAAAATAACATAATTAACAGCTTTTTACTGGAAATGTGTTTTTTTTTTAAAATTAGAATGTGATCCATCTGCATGTCCCAATGGTTCCCGCCCAGAATGCAGGGAAGACCAGTTTATTGTTGAAGCAAAGTTGGAGGATCCTTGCTGTTTCTCCTATTTATGTGGTAAGAAATCTTCCTTATGCTAAAAAGTCATAGATAAGTAGGGAATTGCAGAATATCTATAAATAAGATCAAGTTTAAGTGTTAATTTTGTGAAGTTGATCACAAAACATCCCTGATATCAAAAGGGTACCAGGTGTTGTCAGCTTTGAATGATACACTTGGATTTTATTCCCTAATAAAAGTTGCTGTTACATTTGCTTTTTGGAAAACTCTGCCATTTAAATAGGAATGTAACATATTTTGACATTAAATTGAGGTAAGGTTTGTTCTTCCGTTAAATAAAGACTCTAAAGAAGGCATGGCCTGCCTATCTTCTAATGTTGTAAGCTGCTGCTTCCTACTCATTAATCTTAGCTTTAAATATTGTCTTTCAATGATTTAAGTCACTTTGGGTCCTTTTGAAGGAGAAAGGCAGGGTAAGTAAGTAAGTAAGTAAGTAAGTAAGTAAGTAAGTAAGTAAGTAAGTAAGTAAGTAAGTAAGTAAGTAAGTAAGTAAGTAAGTAAGTAAGTAAGTAAGTAAGTAAGTAAGTAAGTAAGTAAGTAAGTAAGTAAGTAAGTAAGTAAGTAAGTAAGTAAGTAAGTAAGTATTTCCTGGCCTTGGGAATTCCACATAGCTGAAGGACTTTATCCTTACAGTAATTCTTTGATGCAGTGACTTTTGATCAGGTGAAAGTAAATGGTTGAGATGAGAACTTTGTGTAAAAAGACTGAAGAATCATCAGCTTAAATTGTTTTAAAACAGAAAGAATTGAAGACTTCACAAGGCTGTGCCATTTTTCAATACACCCTAATCTGGTTTTACTACTTGTTTATTTAAATCATCTTACCAGTGTCTGCTAAAATAGCCCAAAAATCACTAGACTGGCTTGCAAATATCAGTAGTAAGACAGACCCTACCTTAAGATTTACAGTCTAAAAAGGCATGACACATGGATGAAGGGATGGGACAGAGGTGGGGAAAACACAAATGCAGTCACCTCTTAAACATGTAGTTCTTATAATGATCAGTTGGAATGGAAACACAGTGGCCTGATGGAATGGCTGGTGGCTATGTGACTATTAAGAGGAAGCGGAAGGCAACTATCCTCTCAGGAGAAGTGATGGAATACTTCTCCTTTTTTCTCCTTCTGCTCTTCATCCAAATGAAATGGCTCCTGGCTGGAAGATAGGTGAAATAGGGGACCACAGATGGTCAGTCTCCAGGCAGAGTGATAGACTATCTTTGCTTCTCTTCTCTCCTGCTGCTCTGCAGACTGATGGAAAGAAGGCAACTGTAGATAAGGGACAGCTTAGAATGGATTTAAGACAACTGCTTTTCTTGGTTTTCCATCATCACATGACCTTTGCAGTTGCTATCCAATGAGATAATACGGAAACATTAGACTTTCTTTACTGATATAGGTTTGAAAGCAGTTCTGATCAAAACAGAAGCTTCTTGATAGGGACTAATAGCAAATCTTAAATGTAGAGAATCACTAAGAGAACATCTAAGTCAATATTTTTAGCTATTGGTGATACTTGGAGCATATAAGCTCAAATATTATAGTATTGGAAAGAAATTGAAGTAAAACATTTTAAACTCAGTTTTCTCTTTCAGTTTGTGAATCCTGCATTGAACCAATTCCACTATGTAATGAGGGGGAAATTCTCACTGTAGACCGTAGCACTACTCATTACTGTTGCCCTCGTTATCACTGTGGTACGTTTTGCTTTGTTAACATATCTTAAATTAGATTAAGATGATTACTGATTCTGTGTCTGCTACATTTTCCACATTGGGAAGAATGAGAAAAATGGTTCTAGATAGGCAATCATTAATGTGGGCATGGGAGATCTAAGTTCACACCCTTCCCTTGCCTGTGTACCCCTTCTTACACTGAAGAATAACTTTTGAAGAGGATTGGAGCCATGCTTGAGTTCCAAAGAACTCTTGGTTTAGGTTTTCTGACTGCAAGCATGATGATAATCATCTTCAGTTGCTTATACAGTGGTGCCTTGAATTGCAAACTTAATCTGTTCTGAAATGATGGTCGTAACTCAAGTTGGTTGTAACTCAAAGCGCCATTTCCTATAGGAATGCATTGAAACATGATTAACCTGTTCCAGCGGAAACACCCCTGCCCCCACTAAAAACACATTAAAAAGCACTGCAAGACCCATCAAAACACAGAAACATACCCCCCCCCCGAATCAAACCCATTCCAGCAGGGACCAAAAAACACACTGCAAGACCCATCAGAAACACGATTAATCCATTCTGGCTGACCTGCCCCCCCAAAAAACACACACACTAAAAACACATTGCAACACCCGTCTAAGCACAGAAACATAATCCCCCGCCCAGCCCAAACCCAAGCAGCCACAGAATTTAAAAAAAAACATTCCAGCAAACCCCCGCCCAGCCCAAACTCATGCTGCAAAACCCCAGTACTCACCTAAAACAGGCAGTCTCTCCGTTTTAAAAAAGAAAGTCAAAAAGGAAAAATAAAAGCAGTACCAGACAGTCCGAAGCCTCTCTCAGAATGCACACACTCTAACCACTGGGGCGAAGGAGCTACAAAGAAGCAGCCTCTTCTCCGACCAATGGTTAGCAGTTTAAATTCCTCGCCCTTTTCCCTATTTTTTTTTCTGATCCTATCTCAAAGCTCCTGTCGCAAGTCAAAGCAAAATTTTGTGACCGAAGCTGGTCGTAACTCGATTTTGGTTGCAAGGCAGGACGGTCGTTAAGTCGCGGCACCACTGTGGTTATACTCTCCTCTCAGATTTTCTCTCCAAACACTGGATAGTTACTGATGAAAGAGTGGTGGTACCTGTGACCTTCTGTGTGCAGATACATTTTTCTTGAATGCCTGTGTAAGTCTTATAAATACGCCTCTTTGATATCTCATATCTTATTCTTTATCCATTCATAAAGGAATCTCCAGTTTAATTTTTATTCCTTCAACAAAGATATCAGAACAGTTTTTTTAGCTTCACAATAGCCACATAGGTAGTTCCACCTGAGCAGTAAAGACTTGTTCAAGGTCACACAGTGAAATATGGAAATAGGAAAGGATTTAAACTTAGTTTTCCAGCATCTAAATGTGTTCTAGTTACACCAGCGCCTGCACTTATGTAACAATGCATAACTCATATTAACTATAACCAAACCTGAAAACCTATAGAACTGATTCTAAAGCCAGTGGGTCTTTCAGTTTTTGTTGCTCAAGCAACATTCTCATGCTACATTTGGAGGAAAGCGGTATGTGGTATGGTATAGGAGGAATCTATTCAGTTTTAAAAGATCAAAAATTCTACTGGACAAGTCCAGTGACTTGGGTATGTCTTTAGCTGCCAAGTCATTAAATCAAACTGGCATCTATAAGAAATAATAATGTAATGTGGAGCGGTTCTGGGTATTTGCTATGGAATTAGATAATCACTTTATTTAATCACTTTATTTCTCTTGTAGTCTGTGATGAGAATCTCTGTCACGTACCTCTTCTGAATTGTTCTGCTGATACGAACATGGTGAAGAAAAGAATGCCTGGGCAATGCTGTCCACAGTGGAGCTGTGGTATTCACTAAATGATTTTCTTCTAATTACAGTACATGAATTAACAATATATGGCTTCTTTTCCCTCTAAAGTGATTGTAATGATCGCTCTCTCTCTTCCACATTTATTCTTTTTCTAGAATGTGACTGTGAAAATGCTGAAGTACCAATCTGTAAAGTGGTAAGAAATGTTTTGGATGGGTGGTACTATATGTATTGTGTTTTTGAACTCATTTTAAAAGCCTGTTCATTTTGTGGTCCTTTTTCTGAGGCTATGGATTATACTGTCATCATATGACTATGATTATGCAGGCTGAACTGAAGGTCTTGCCCACTCCTTATTGGGCAGTGGTGGACTTTCAGCCCTGAGGGCACAAGCAAGGAAATGAACAATTGTGTAATGATGAGATAAAGACATCATCCACTGGTGACATCTTGCCAGAACCTGGATAAGATCCATGAACAATGCCCTTCAGATGTAATGCAGCTGAAAGACAAAATAATGTTGCTCTTCTTAGAAATGTAAAAATGTACTGTTATCTGGTCACATTGATAGTTCATTTATATATGTTTTCGCCCATATATAACTATAGATGTCAGGGAACTTTTTTACCTTTTACCCCTCCCCAAAAAATTTATATACGCCAACATTACCCCCTTGATTTGAAAGGAAAGAAATCATACATTATTTGAATTCAAAATCTTATTGAATCTACACAAGCTGTGTACCAAACTAGCAGGATATATCATCAGTATCAATGGCTGGCAGGCGATGTGCCGAACTAGCAGGATGTACCAAATTTAATAAAGATGTGCACTATTTTTGCTGGAACACACTGCACACCAGCCATGGGGTGGTAAAGGGAGTAGTAAGGTGTCCAACGCGCTTAGCAAGTGGCATTAAACTTTTGCTAGCTCGCAGAGGATTTAATCATCATCAATGACTGCCAGAGTGCTGCTAGCAATGATGTGCTTGCTAGAGACAGCCAAGGCAGAGTTGGGGGGGGGGCTTTTCCTATCACTTTAATCATTCTCTGTGTGGTGTGCAAAAGGGAACAAACCAGGATAAAGGTCATGTCACCCACCCTGATGACAGCACCAACATCAAAGGACCAGTGCACTATTTTATTTCTCATCATCAATGGAAAACTTAACAGTGGCCAGAGGCTTGGAAAAGATCAGTCTACATCCCAATCCCAAAGAAAGGAAGTGCCAAAGAATGCTCCAACTACTGTACAATTGCACTCATTTCACACGCTAGCAAGGTTATGCTCAAAATCCACCAAGGCAGGCTTCAGCAGTATGTGGATCGAGAACTCTCAGAAGTACAAGCTGGATTTTGAAGGGGCAGAGGAACTAGAGACCAAATTGCTAACATGCGCTGGATTATGGAGAAAGCCTGAGAGTTCCAGAAAAACATCTACATCTGCTTCATTGACTACGCAAAAGCCTTTGACTGTGTGGACCACAGCAAACTATGGCAAGTCCTTAAAGAAATGGGAGTGCCTGACCACCTTATCTATCTCCTGAGAAATCTATATGTGGGACAGGAGCAACAGTCAGAACTAGATATGGAACAACTGATTGGTTCAAAATTGGGAGTACACCAAGGCTGTATATTGTCTCCTTGCTTATTTAACTTATATGCAGAATGCATCATGTGAAAGGCAGGACTGGATGAATCCCAAGGCGGAATTAAGATTGCCAGAAGAAATAACAACCTCAGATATGCAGATGATAACACTCTGATGGCAGAAAGTGAGGAGGAATGAAAGAACCTCTTAATGGGGGTGAAAGAGGAGAGTGCAAAAATGGTCTGAAACGCAACATCAAAAAAACTAAGATCATGCCCACTGGTCCCATCACCTCCTGGCAAATAGAAGGGGAAGATACGGAGGCAGTGACAGATTTTACTTTCTTGGGATCCATGATCACTGCAGATGGTGACAGCAGCCACGAAATTCAAAGACGCCTGCTTCTTGGGAGGAAAGTGATGACAAACCTAGACAACATCTTAAAAAGCCACCCTTTTTTCCCTGCCTTAATTCAAGCCTTTTGTTTTGCTTGCTTATTCCTTTTTTCATAGTTTTGAGTCTCTCTCTCTCTCTCTCTCTCTCTCTCTCTCACACACACACACACACACACACACACACACACACACATCTACCCACCCTCCCTCCATTTGCTACATACTGTACATTTAAAGAAGCTTGATGAAGCAGTAGATCTCTCGCACCTTCTTTCCCATCGTTAACTGAAGCTTGCCTGCATTCATCTCCGGCGGAAGCAGTCATTCACATTCACAAGCCCCGGATTGATTGCCTGGTGCTGTAAAGCCCTAAACAATTAAGCAGGCTAATCTCTGATCTCTGAAAGAACGGATTTACAAGTGCCCTGCCGCAACCAAGGAAGTAGCAGGGAGAGGTGGCTTACAATTTGAGGTTTGGCTGCATTGGATGGGTTTTTTTCCACCCTTTTACGCCATTTGGAGTGAATTATCCCTGTTCCCCAACCACTGCTATAGATAGTTAGTACTGAATCTGGATAGGGGTTTGGACATATATGGCATTGATGCTTTTTTCATATTCTCTCTCTCCTTTTTTATATTATAGGGAGAAATTCAACTTAAAGATGCTAATATTTTCAGCATGTGTGGATGTCCGAAGTACAGTTGTGGTACGTATGTATTGTTTTCAATATAAATACTAATTTCTATCTGTGAAAATAAATACTAATTTCTATCTGTGAGCCAATCTCTGTGTTCTATAATCTTCTAACATTCTTGGTGGATTTCTGAGTTACAAGTGAATGAGAAGAACAAAGCTGCTGGATAGAGATGGTCATGAATTGGTTATTCCCAGTTTGCCCTACTTCATAAAGGCCCTCCCCTGCCTCCTCAACCATTCAGCCACTCACCAGACCCAGCTTGCTTGCTTTTTCCACCTCCTCAACTAATCTCCCTCTCATGAGCAAGAGCACAGATTTCTCTGCCTTGCCCTTTTGTCTGAGTAGAAGATCAGCCAAGAGGGTGTGGCAGAGAAGCCTGAGCTGCTGCCAGGACTGGAAGATCAATTGAGGAAGTGCAGGAAACTACCAAGATGAGCTTGGTGAGTGGCTGATTGAGCCACAGGAGGCAGGGGCTGAAGTGTGATGAACTGAAGGGCACAAACTGCTGCTGGCGGAAAATATTCCATTTTAAGAAGATTTGTATTTGCAGTTCTTCAATCATGTTGTTTGTACATGGCTATTAAAACACAAAAGATGTTTCAGATGTCTACATAAATCTCGTCCACCATAATTTCTGAGCCAAGTCCAATAGGAGTTCCAACTTGAGTATACTAATTAAAATCAGTAGCATTGGTAATCACCGCTCATGGTTGTATCCATAGGTCTGTTGTAGTTGTATGCATGTATAAAATGAAAAGTGAAAATATACATTGGAAAACAAAACATCTAACAGAATTTATTATAAGCTTCAAAGTATACCCTATATGTGCATAAGATTACAACCTGGATTTACTCCTCAAAGAATGATGTGCATTTCAGTAGGATTTATTCACAATATCAACATATAATTGGACAGCACTCTTCTTTCACCGTGTGTGAATGTGTCTATAGCACTAATCAGTCATTCTCTAATTAGAAGTCATCAACACAGTTGGGAGGAAAATTCTACCCCTTCTTTGCCACCTTGCTCGGACTAACAGTCACATATCTGCATAAAAGAAGCACTCTAGATGTGAGCAAGAACACAGAGTTTCTAGTTCAGAGTGTAGAGCCTGCATGCAAATAGTAACATCTCATCTTCAGTATTCTTGCTGCTAACTGGGCAAATTGACAGGGGAGGAGGCAGGATTAGTCTGTGCGACATAACATATCAATAATTCCTGAACAAATAAATAGAACTAAGTATGTATGTGTTTGTCTGTCCCTCTGTGTGGATGGGCAAGGTATTACAAAAATAACAAACATCAATTGTTTTCAAATATAGAAAGCATTCATAGGGTAGGTTTCAAACATTTTAAATAAATTTTTATTTCTTTCTTTTTATATTAGAAAAGGATAATGTCTGTGTATTCCAAGAAGTAACTATTCTGAGTCCTGGTCAGACTATGATTCAGTATTTGGATGGAGATCTTTGTTACATGGCAAAGTGTTCAGAAGAGAAAGACCCCAGCACTGGATTTCATGCAATGGATGTGACAATAGTTAACTGTTCCCAAAAATGTGAAATTGTAAGTGCAGTATTGCTAAAATTTAGTTACTTGTGAATATAATGGAGCTGTCCTTTAAACCCATTAAACTTACAGGCATGCATTTCAAGTTTTTGTCCATATACATATTTCTTGAGGGGCTTTGAAATAATGGAAATGGAGTACCTTCTATCAAAGGAGGGAAATGTTTGTTTCCAATTCAGGATTTCTGTCTGAAATCCTGGAGGGCTGTTACTAGTAATAGTGGTAGATATGAATTAGATAATACACTTACATAGATGACACATGGCAGCCACTTGCCTTTGTATAGTGAGATTACATTTAGCTTCAAGTTATCTTTTTTGTCATTGAGGCGTACCATGTCAACACTCCTTGCTTACTAGTAGAAAATCTCTATCTCTCAATCTTTCTTTCCTTCCTTCCTCACTGTGCTTGTCTCTCTCTTTACTCATTTCATTCAGCCAAGGGAAGATGCCAGGGTAATCCATCCTTTGGATAGGAAGGTAGGTTCAGTGGCTGCATTTGGATGCAATGCTAAATGAAGAGAATGAGCTTAGTCTCTGCTTGCAGCTTGGGTGCTGTTTCTTTTCTCTAGCAACCATGAGGAAATTGGCAACTTCTGGTTCAATTTCCAATTAACCACAATTCATTGTGTAATGACTCCTAAATTTCAGTCAATCTTAATCTCTGCTTAATGAAAACAAGCCAGCTTCACTAACCATGGCTTGAAGTTAGCTTGCTTCACTGATCTTAGTCAAGGTCACATTTAAATGAGACAGTGAACTGGAGTGAAATATATCTGAATTCCTCTGCACAGCTAAACTGGAGGTGAATTAGAGATCCCTGCAAGAGTTCATTACAGTAATACCTCTGGATCAGGCAGGAGAGTAGATAATCCACATGAACAAGCTCTTCCCCTTAGCTGTTGCAGGGGCTGATGGCAACAGGCTTCCTAAAGGAAAACGTTTGGGAAGAATTGTCAAAATATTTTCATAGGAAACTGCGTTAAAAAGCATCCCGGCTGCAAATGGCACATTTAGCACCTGATTGTAACCAACAGTATATATTTGAAAATGAAGTTGTCAGTTTGGAGATATTTTAAAACATTTGATATATTTCTTTTAAACAGCATCAAGTATACATCCCTTCTTCAACTCAAGAGTCTTGTTGTGGTTCTTGCAGAAATGTTTCATGTGCCTTTGACAATGGCAATGGGACCCTTGACATTTACGAAGTAAGTCCCTCTTTTTAAAAACCTGCAGAAAATAAAGCATCAGAATTCTGATTGCACATTTCTTAATAAAATCCTTAAATTCCTTTAAGCTACTTCTTGTATTTGTCATCAGAGTTCAAACTACCTTTGGACAGAAATCAGCTTGTATGTTCAATGTATCTTTATATGAAAAGGAATTATCATAAGCTATCACACTATCAGATCCAGATAAAAATACAAAAATAATTTTTTTTAAAAACCACATTGCGACACCTTCAAGACTAACTGCAATATTTCAAGAGACTCTTGCAGAACGTGGGCTGCATACAAGTTGAACAAACAAACATACAAACAAACAAATGTGATCTTCTTCTTCTTCTGAAGAAGAAAGGGACATATCCATAAAAAGAAGCTGGCACTGAAATATAATAGTCTTGAAATGCCACAATGTTCTCGGTTTCTGGTTTTTTTTTTTTTTATGGATGTGGTTGCACAGACTAGTATGGCTGATTCTTAGAAAATTGCAGCAGATGCTCAGAGTTGCCACCTGTATGTGCTTCTGGGTTGAGTGCGAGGATCACAGACGGGACAGCAAAGCCAGGAGGATTAAAATGCTCAAGCCAATCGTCTTCCTTCTCCATGTGTTTCTTTGTACTGGGGCTAGCTGCTGGTTGGGAATATTAATTTGTTTAACATCTTTTATAAGCCATCTCTAAAGTTGGCCACATTCACATTAAGCAATAATCCAGAAAACTGGAAAATCCAGGCTTATTGTAAACAAAATGCATTGTTTTTGTAAACCCCCCCCCCTATTTTTTTTTAGGAAGGAAGCACCTGGGACTCAAATTGCACAAAATATGAATGTGTAAAGACTCCTGTAGGTGCAATAGTACTTGGCTCCAGTGTCATTTGCCCGCCTTTTAATGAGACTGAGTGCATGAAGGTTTGTATTTTAATTGTAGCTAATGCAGATGAGAAATTAAACATTAAATTTGTTTCTGTGAATTTGGTATCTATTAGAGTGTGCTACATAGTGTAAATGTATGCAGTCATGTTTCATTGTTTTTCATGTTTTCATCATCATCATCTTAGAACTGCATATTTGAAGGAATGAGCCCTATGGGTCATCGAGTCCAGCCCTTGTCAAGGAGCCACAGTAGGGAATCGAACTTCCAGCCTCAGGGAGCCAGATACCTAACCCACTGAGCTATCTAGCAGAGTGCCTTCTAGGCCTTGTATGTCATGGCTTCCGGTGTGAACTGGTATGACTGCATGGGTGCTGATGGCAACAAGACTCATTTAACTAACTCAAAAAAAAAAGTTGAATGAAAAATCAACACAGGGCTGTTTGTTCAGGGGGGTTAGTGCTGACGAACGCTCGACAAGGGATGGAGGGGAAACCCTTGTGCAAGACCACCAACACTCTGTGATATCACCTCCAGCCACTAGATGGCTATCGTATTTGGGAAGGCTCAAAAGTAGTTTGCTAGATGCATGGCCAGGGGTCAGCACACAGCATGGCATGCAAATACTATAGGCTACAAGGGCTTAGAAGACCCACCACAAGTAGCAGTGGAATCTTTTATTTTTTTTCTGAAAATTCAATAGAAACTTATTTTTAGGATCCAGCCCTGAGAGGCCATTTACCTGTAGCCACCACTATTCTGCCATTATTCCCAGTGCCCCGTGCCACAAATTGTATACTAAAACAGGGTCTGGGCACCCTAGGAATAAAGCTGGCAATGGATGCTCCTGTAGCTACCTCCCCTTGCACTTCCCTTTTCTACACCAGCCTGCGGATGTATTGAGGCTCTGTCTTCCTCCACTGTTGCAACTTATACCACACTGTATCCTGGTAAGCTTCTCGTGGGGTTAGGAGCAGAGAAGTAACAGACATGTTGTTCAGGGCCTCTTCCTGACTGGCCCTGAGTAGACAGTATGATGATGCTACTGCTTTAACAATGTTTAAAAAGTAATTTTTAAAGTTCCATCAGATGTGGTGGCCACTTGCAATGAACTGTAATGTAAGGCTGATGTTGCAGCTTATGCCACAGTAAATAAGCTTTTCCTAATATTTTCATGACAAACACTTCCTTGTACCTTAATAACTGTTGTAAGTTGCAGGTTGAAAGTAAATTGTCATTACAGCTAAAATAAACAGGTAAATACATGAACTGGCTGTGGATTTGGCCACTTCTTTTCGTTTACATACATCAGTCAGATATTTCAACACAGTTTGGGGGCGCAGTCTTTTTTTGAAATATTCCTTTTTAATTTTCCTAGAATGGAGGCACTGTCCAGACATATAATGATGGCTGCTGCAAGACCTGTAAGTGAAAAAAAAGCTGCATTCAGTGCTAATAATGTGCTAGTCTGGCTTTGGTATTGATAGCTATGTGTGTTCTTAACTCCTCTAATGGGATATATGGGGGAAAAAGCATGCTGCCTCTCAAATCATGTAAAATGTGTGTAGTTCTTAACAAATGTCATTTGTAAGCCTTGCTTTATATGGCTGCTCACATGGTGATCTTTGATTATTTTTAACCCTTTCCTTCTGGAGTATAACCATATCTCTTCAAAAATAGCATGAGTGTAAATCAAAAGTGATTTTTTTTTAAAAAAGAAAGAAATACAAATATGTAATATATTACAAAGATTGTGCCAGATTCTAGAACAACATATATTTGAATATGTTCGCAGGAAAAGTCTAAAGTATAGAATTCTGATATGGGGCATATACTCAAAGTAATTAGTGTGATGGCAGCTATAGTCTCTTGTGACATATGTTCTATAGGAATAGATGTTTTTCCTCTTTGTTGAAATATGAGAAGATATTTCAGTTAGCAAATTATTTTGCAGTTCATTTTATTTACGTATTGGTCCTATTTGTATCTCAGCATTCTACCAGTGAGCTCAAGATGGCATATAAATATAGCTTTCCTCCTGTGGCCCCATTTTGTTGTCATGACAACCCTGTGAAGTAGGTCAGGGTGAGAGAGTACGACTGGCTATTATTGCCCATTGAGTTTCATGGCAAACTGGGGGGATGGGGGACATGAATCCTGGACTCTTTTGTCCTAATCCATCACATTCACCACTACACCATGAAGGCTATCATTTATATAAAAAGAACGACTGCATTTTAAGAAAGTATGTATCAAATTTCAATGTACAAATATGAACTTATATTAATTTAAATATTTTATATGGCATATATTAATTATTTTACTCTAAAGCATCCTGCCTGGGTTTAAGGCATTATCAACATCACGAATTAAGGCTCTCAGAGGTAGCAAAGGAAAACATGAAGCCTAAAATCTTCAAAATCATATTAGTCAGTGGATCTTGGTCATTCACAGGATGACTTTTCACATGAGAAACCTGGATATTTTTGTAAAAATAATTGAAAATCAATAAAATATTTGGACTGGATGCAGAAAACCCCAAAATGGGGAATTTAAATAGAGTTGTAAGGCAACAACCCAGGAAATAAACTGATGCACAGACTGGTAGTTCTCATTTCAGAAAAAAATCCACTCCACTAGCTCACTGTGGCAGACTGAAAAGCAGCCAAACAGGATATTTATTTGATTATATCCTACAACAGTGGTCCTCCATATGTTTTTGGATGTCAGCTCTTAGAAGCTCCAGCCAGCCAATGATCCCGGCTCCTGGGAACTGACATTCAAAATATTGGAGGGGCTAAAAGATGAGAACCACTTTCCTGGAACCACTATCTCTACTTCAAAATCTATTGGGAAGTACCAGACTTTGTCTTCTTTCCCCTTTGTGATTTAGAAACACCTTATGACATTGGAAAACACTTCTTGCTCGTTCTAAGAAAAGTCACTGGGTCCTGCACATACAGGCCATGCCTCTTTCTGTCACATCCTGTGCCATTCCAGAGTTTCCACGCAAAGCTGTTGCTTTTGGTGGTGCAGAAGGGACTCCAGTAATGGAGAAAAAAATGACTCTGCTCTCTGGATCCGTCCTCTATGTGAACAGACGAGACATGTTCAAAGTCAGTCTATTTGATTCAATTGGCATACGGAATATAGATATTTTTACATTTTGAGGCAATTTTACATTTGTAAAAAAAGATTGGTTGCTGGCGGAAAAATCCCACCAGTTGGTTAGACCATAACATCAATGAAAAATCAATATATTTTCATGTTGTGATGTCAATAGCAATATTAGAGGCACATGTGGCACAATGTGATCCCAGGATTGGGATACTGTTCACAGAACGGGCTGACCAAGATCGAGCAGATGTTGGTATGTGTAAGGGAGATTTCCTAACCAATAGTTTCTCCTTCTCCTAGTGCCATCTTTCATGGTGTTCCTCAAGAGCAACTTTCAGGGAGAGGGACACAGAGGGCTCCAGGGGAGAGGAGAAATCTGTGAAAAACACCTTTTCCCATTTGCCAACTGAGTTTTCCCTTGAGTCATTTTTGCTCATGGGTACATATATAATAAACAGACACACAAATTATATATATTATATAATTGTCCCCTTAAATTTGTTTCAAAACCTAATACTGCTGGAAGGCATGCACTTGAATATATTACAGGCAAGACCCAGAGATGGTTTGGCAAAAGAGGTTATTATTTCAAGTCCTAATCAAGAAGAAAAATATTAGGGAAAATTATTTCTCTTGATAGATATATAAAGCTGAATACTGTCCACTACAGGCTCATCTTTGTCCTTCTCTGTTCAATAGTAAGTTATTTACTTTTTTATATTACACAGACATTCTCTAAAAGTATAGTATTACCATATTTTTAACAATATTATGTAATTTTAGGAACAGCATTGTTATACTTCAGAACTGTTTGTTGAGATGGCTTCTGAGAAAAAAGTATATAACATAATGAAATGCTATTTTACATGCTAATGGAGAATGTTATTTTTTTAAAATAAACTAAAAGCATGTGCTTTTTATCATAAAGCAGTTTATAAGTCCTCTACAAAATACAGCTTGCAACTCCTTGGGTTTTAATGGGAACCAATAATCTTTATTTTAAAAGAAAAAATGATTAAGTGCATGCTAAGTGAGTTCATATATTTAATTCTTACCTTGCCATAGCCATAAAATGGCCATAGATTTTTGCCTGTTATAAACATTTTATCCACACAAGTTTTAAAGCATAGGGTTATCAATAATTTAGAAAAATAGGAAGACTTTTTCTATTTTACGAAAAGAGCAATTGCAGTTGGCAGTGTAAGAATTAATGCATTGTTGTTTATGTAAAATGTTTTTATATTACAACAAACTTATGTTCCCAATAATTCTGCCAGGTTCTGGACGGGGTGTATTACCCGTTGCCATTACCCCTGTAGTCTCTACTGATAGTATTAATTGTGAACCAGGTATTATTATTTTAATGTATTTTCTTTCCTTTAAAAATCTTTTGCAATGTCAATATTCTTTATGGAACTGTCCATATGCAGCTGTGATTCACTGGCTGAAACTGTCTTGTTCAGATACATAAAAAGTGTAACACTCAGTGCTGAATTGCTGTATATTATGTATTTATTTAACTTATATACTGCCCAATATTGTGATATGCAACAGATAATGTCTATGAACCTTCCTTACCTTATGGCAGTTCACCACTAAGTTATGCCTTTGGGTAACTGTACAACACAGCTTCAGCCTGTGTCAATGGAGCGCATTGAGAGTTTTCAGAGTTACTATTTGAAATTAAGGTCATATATAATGGTTTTTAAGATAACAACTAGAGTTTACTATCCATCATTTAGGCTAGTGGCCCTCTAAATGTTTGAGTGCAGGTCCCTTCTTCTTTCACGTTGTGTTTGATGAAAGAGGCTGTTGGGAATTGCTGCCTGACAACATCTGGAGGGCCCCAAATTCCTCACCTGACTTACTTTTAAAAAATTTATTATTTACCTTTTTTTCCCATTCAAAGAACCACTTCATAGTGTTGCTTGGTGTGGTGCCATGGCAATCAGGAACTAAGTGGTGGGTGGCAGGGAGTGACTTACTGGTGGGTCTGAGATGATGAAAGCAGTGGACAGCTGTGGAGGAAACACAGGCATTTTTCCTCGTTCATTTTCCACTCCAGTGTGTAGCCCTATTCAGGTAATCTTTAAGAGCTGATAAAGTCGTATAACAAGAGAGAGTATACTAGCCTCCATTGCCAGCAATAATTTCCATCACACTCCCCACATAGAGAATTGCTTTCCACATTTTGAAGAAGCCAGAATACTATTTGTGAAAATAGTATTGTGTAGCATGGGGAGGGCCTCCATACACAGAATAAACTTTCCTATTTAAAAAGTCACCCTTGACATACAAAAAGCAACAGAAGCTCTTCTAATGTTGGAGATTGGGCTGCTTTGCTCTCTTTCTCTTCCTGTGTTGCTATTCACATTTATGGAACACTCCGACAGCCTTGCATCGTTGCATGGGTTGCACTTTACTTTGCTACATGAAAATGCATGTGAAGCAGGCCTGATAGATGTATGTATTCCATTAAAAAAACTATGAGAATCTTAACCCTGATATGAAAACTGTGAAATGCTGTGGAGTTCCCAAACATGAGAAAGAAATTGGAGGCATGAACTCTGTTCTGTTCACATTAGGAAGTTGGGCTAAAGCTATCAATAATGAGGGGACAGAGATGTCCTTGCTTAGTGAGAACACCAGGTACACAGTGGGCATGGACTGGACAGACAGCAATTATCATTTAATTATAGGTTTAAATGGAGAACTAGCTCAATAAACCACCTATTTAGGTCAGTGGGACTGGGATTTTATAATAATTTAATATAAATGACTTACATGTGTCTATATCCTCAACATTTCCATGTTAATTTTAAGAACAGACACTTTTTCCATGTTGTGACTTTACATGCCCTGGTTTTAAAGCATAAATGCCTCAGTCCAGTAAACTTCATCAGTTACTATATGAAAGACATATGCCACTTTGCCAGATCCTGCATCTAAAATGGGTACAGAGTGGGTAACATCCATCCACTGGGTTAGTGTCTGTAATGATCCTTGGTAGTTTGGGACCTTTTATGGTGTTAGCACAGTAAGAAAATAATGGGGCTCACCTTTTATTTACAATTTATACCAGCATCCATTTTGGTCATTTGGCTTTACTAGCTACCAGTAACTGATATGTAATAGTTTTTATAAAACACTGTGTGTTTGATTCTTTGTGAGATACTCCCAAATTCTCCCATGGCAATCACTGTAGATCTACTCGCACTGAAGTATTTTGTTTGGATTTTGTAAACATTTCTGTCCCCCTATGGATATAATTTTTGGAAGAAGAGTGCTTAAGATAGCAGAATTGCTATGCTTAGTTATCCCTGCAAGAAATGTGAAATCGGTTATATGCACATGGAACATAATTTTTAAAAAAACTCTTGTGATCCGTAGGTTTATTAACTTTTATGTGTCCTTTCTATTATCAATAATTTCTAGTTAAATGGGTATGTCAGGTCATCAGGGCTACAATATCCTTTATCTTTGTTTCCTTCCAATTATATATTACTGTATACTGGAGATCTCAGAAGACCAGAAAATTCCTGTAAGCAAAGGGTCAAGCAGCTTACCATTCACCTTTTGGAAATATTTTTTTTTAAATTTGTGTGTGACCAAACAAATAATTCATAGCTTTAAAAGGAGTATTCTCAATATCCTGATAAATATTCCAAGCCTTTTCTGGGCAGAGAAGTACATTATACTATATCCAGGGTGTTACGATCAAGTTGAGCAGAACAGGAAATTAAATATTCTTGAATACTGTAGTTTGTCCATGTACTTTTTGTGCATTTAATTTCCTTGATAATAAGGTCTTTGGAATAAAAAAGGCTACCTGTAACAGAATGCATCATGTCTCTGTGCCTGATTACCAACATTTTAGCTATTCTTCATACATAAGACCAAGCCGAGGCTCAGAATATGGGTTTTCCTTGCAGTTGGGGAACAGGAGAAAAGCCTTTGCATCATGCCCTCCAAATTACATATGGTCTGTGTCCAATGTCTGTAAAAACATCTGTCTGAGCCATCTCAGTTTAAAGTTGGGGACTACATCACTCAGTAATACTACCTATGTGAAGGATTTCGGAAATATTATAGACCACAAGCTGAAGCTGAAAATGAACTAACAGTAAAATGTGGCTGAAAAAAAAGGGAAGATGCTATTTCAGGCAGCATTAACAGAAAGGTAGTCTTCCAAATCCCATGAAGTACTAGTCCACTGTGAAATTTACACATCTCAAGGGCAACATCCTTTTGGCACGATGAAAAGCTTTCTATCCCTGCCCTGCTGTTTCAGTTTCTGAGACTTCCTAGGGCTTTGGGAACCTTGAAACAGGGTGGGGTGGGGCGGGGATTTCAACCATCAAAAACTGTGCTCCCTTTTACCCTGGAGAAGCCTTTGGGAACCTTCAAACAGGGTGGGGTGGGGTGGGGCTTTCAACCATCAAAAACTGCTGTTGGCAGTCCCAATCCTAACGGTGGCAATTTGGTGGTAATGTATGACTTTTAAATTAATTTATGTTAATTATTTTCAAAACCCCAATCTGCTAGTGCAAGGTCATGCATTAGGATTTTGCCCAGCATTTGCTTATATCAGTAGGAAGGACTGAATTACCATCTGCTTTCCTTATAGATTATTGTAATAATCTGGACTCATTCTGAAAATTCTGCTTAAGTGTTATATACCAAATTACTTTTGAATGTTATCTTTATATATTCAGCAAAAACAAGACTTTTATGGATGATTAAAATGCTACTTCTAGCAAGTACAAAGTATAGAATTTTCTTCTGCATCAAGAATAAATACTTTTGGGAATGTTATTGCATTATAAATTAGCTTTTAAGAATTTACTGAATAAGTTGAAATAATTTCGAATTGTCTTAGTGATTAAAGTAAAGCCATGACCCAAAGAGCCATGAGGTAAGCTCTGCAGATTCAATAGGATTTCTAAAGACCCTGTGTCATCTGACAAGTTCTCCAGGTTTAATCAGACTAGGTTTGTGCCTAGGCCCAAGGAAATGGGGTGGGGTGGGAAGACAATGAGACACTTTGAGGCATGTTCAAAAATACACACATAAAGGGTTGCTTATATCATGACCTAATTAATGTCATTTTCAACATTACCATCATACAGTACTTTAACAACTTATATGTATGAATGCACATCAATTGAGAATATTTTACATTTCATCAGGCAAAAAGGATGATAGGATTTGCCAGAAAGTGATGATGAGAACAACTGTAAGGAAAAGTGACTGCATAAGTAGAAGTCCGGTAAGTACAGGTGGCTTTTTCTTTTTGCACGTTCTATTATGTGATTCTAAAACATGAAAACCATTTAAAGATGCTCATGGTCAATAGGCTAAATAAATATCCACCCAACCATTGTGCATAAGCTCATCTATTCCTCTGATATCTGGAAGATCTCTTACTGTAACAACATTGTTCTACTCATCTATTTGTTTACAAATTAACTGCCTCTACTTTAACATGACAGAAGGGCTGAGCTGTTCAGAAGAACACCTGCCTCCACATAAATCACATCCAGTGTATTTGCTTAGGGTAGAGAAAAACATGGACATGTATTACTAAATACCTTCCTATTATTATTTTCAAGCAGAGTGGTCTTTCACACTGGTCATGTTTTTGATGTTAAAGATATCTATGGTCTTTCACAGAGGGCACACCATAGATACTACACATAATTAAGCCCCTCTAAAAGAGTTATAATATGATCTCTCTCACTTTTGTGTAAAATAGCTTGGTGTAAAATGTGACTGATAGGTGCCACTGCCACGAAATGACGGCAAATAATGCTGATGACATGCGACTCTATCTCTCCGTTACCACCTCTGCAGTGGATGCTGTCCAGATGCTGGACAGTTTCCTGGTTGCAGTACTGGAATGGACCAAGACTAACAGGGCTCAAACTGAACCTGGACAAAATAGAGATTTTGTTCCGGGGGGGGGGACCTCTGAAAGGTTAGGGGGGAATGGTCCCTTGGCTGGATGGTACTCCCCTCCTGTTTAGGGATCAAGTGCATAATCTGGGTGTTCTTCTGGACCAGGCTTTTTCTTGGGAGTCCCAGATTGCAGCCATGTCCAGATTAGCCTTTAACCAAATTAGGCTTATCGCCCAACTCTGCCCCTACCTAGATGAGGAGTCTCAAAGGACTTTGGTGCAGGCTCTGATCATCTCCCTGATTGACTACTGCAGTGCCCTCTATATGGGGTTCCCCCTTCAACCTGATCTGGAGACTTCAGTGGGTCCAGAATGCGGCAGCCAGACTGGTGGTTGGTGCAAGTAAATTTGACAACATCACTCCAGTTCTGGCTCATCTCCACTGGTTGCCCATGGCATCCTGGATAAGGTTCAAGGTTTTGACACTCACGTATAAAGCCCTCCATGGTTTGGCCCATTGGAAGTTGCTCTGTGGAGCCAAAGAAGGTTATACACATAGTTGACATTTACCAAAACAATGGGTTTGCTTTTTCTAGCTGAGATGACCAGGGAACTACAGATCAGTCAACCTGAAATCAATCCCAGGCATAATTCTGGAGGAGATTATAAAGCATTCACTCTGCAAGCATCTTGAAAACAATGCAGTAATAACGAGAAGCCAACATGGATTTGTCAAGGACAAATCCTGCTGTACTAATCTGATCTCATTTTGTGATTGGATAACCTCCTTTGGTAGATGGTGTGAATGCTGTAGACATAATCTTCTGTATTTTGACTTCGGCAAAGCCTTTGACAAAGTGCCTCATGGTATTCTGATTGGCAAACTAACTAGGTGTGGACTGGATAGAACAACTGTCAGATGGATACACCGTTGGTTATAGAATCGTACTCAGAGAGTGCTTGTCAACGGCTCCTTCTCAAACTGGAAGTGGGGTATCACAAGACTCAGTCTTGGTTCCAATGCTGTTCAACATTTTTATTAATGACTTGGGTGAAGGAGGTGCAGGGAATGTTTATCAAATCTACAGATGACACAAAATTGAGTGGAATAACTAATACTGTACCTTGGAAGACAGGAACAAAATTTGCCATCCAGAAGCCACTGGTAATGGTGCGGCTAAAAATACTGTAAATAAATAAATAAATAAATAAATAAATAAATAAATAAATAAATAAATAAATAAATAAATAAATAAATAAAAAAGATCTTGATAGGCTTGAGCACTGGGCTGAAAACAACAGAGTGAAATTTAACAGGGATAAGTGCAAAGTTCTACATCTGGGAAAAAACAAATACAGTTACAAGATAGCTTAGTAATACCAAGAGTGAGAAGGATATTGGATTTGTTGTATTTATTTACTTATTTATTTATTTATTTATTTATCCCACCCATCTAGACCAAAGGTCTACTCTGGGTGGTTTACAAATTTAAAAACAATAAAACCAAAAACATATATTATAGGTCCAAATTGGCAAAATTTAAGAAATTAAGATATGGCAGGAGGGAAAGCCTGCCCAAATAGCCAGGTTTTAAGTTTATTCCTGAAAACACCCAGAGAGGGAGCTGAATATGGATCATAAGCTGAATATGAGCCTACAGTGTGATATGGCTGCAAAAAAAGGGCTGATGCTATTTTAGGTTGCATTAACAGAACTTTAATCTCTGAATCCTGTGAGGAACTAGTCCCCTTCTATTCTGCACTAGTTAGGTCTCATCTCAAGTACTGAATCCAGTTCTGGACACTACACTTTAAGAAAGATGCCAACGAACTGAAAGAAGATCAGAGGAGGGCAACAAGGATGATCAGGGGGCTGGAATCCAAGTACTGTGAATAAAAACTGAAAGAAGTGGGTATGTTTAGCTTTGAGAAAAGAAGACTGAGGTGATATATGATAGCATTTTTCAAACATTTGAAAGGTAGTCATACAGTGGAAGGACAGGACCTGTACTAGATCATCCCAGGGTACAGGACACATAATAATAGGCTCAAGTTAGAGGAAGCGCTAATATCAGGAAAAAAAATCTTAACTGTTAAGCAGAACACCAATGGAACCAGTTACCTTGGAAGGTTGTGGGTAGAGATGGGAGCGAATTAGAAAAAATAGTGATTTGTATTTGTCATTCGTCAAAGTTGACAAATGGGTGAATCAACAAAGCATCAAGTTTTAGTGATGAATCGACTATTTGTCACTAAAACACAATCAACTGATTGTCAGGACATTGACAAGCAGGCTAGCTGTGGAAACGGAACCCGGGGTTTGCCTTCCTGTAGTTAGCCTGTTTATCATTGTCCCATCAATCATCAGGACATTGACAAGCAGGCTGACTGTGGAAGGCAAACCCTGTTTCTGTTCCTGCAGCTAGCCTGCACAAAGGGACAAATAAAAATGGGTAAATATTCATCCCTTCGTATTTGTCGGGATCTCTGGTCCTGATGAATATGAAGGGATGAATATCCCATGAATCAGCGATATTTCATTAATATTGTGATTCATTTTTTTATTCGTCCCCATGTCTAGTGGTGAGCTTTCCAACACTGGAGGCATTCAGGAGAAAATCAGACAACCAGATCTGCTTTGATCTGGATTTCTGCATTGAGCAGGGAGTTGGACTTGATGGCTTTATAGGCCCCTTCCAACTCAATTATTCTATGATTCCGTGATTCTATATATACTTTTAAAACTGAGCTTGAATGATTAAACCTGATTAATGAGACTATTTCTTTTCTTGTCCCTAACAGATTGATGTGGCTTCTTGTGAAGGAAAATGTCCCTCTGCCACAATTTTTAATGTCAACATTGATAGCCATTTGAGATTCTGTAAATGCTGTCGTGAAAACAGAGTGCAGAATCTAACGGTGCCACTCTACTGCTCAGGAAATGGCACTGAAATTATCTATGTGATCCAGGAGCCTATAGACTGTTCATGTCAATGGAATTAAGAACTTTATGGATATTATGGATATGGAATTTTATGGATATTATGGATATTGTTATTAAAACAGGATTATATTTTATTATTGCTTTTGGATTTAATAAATATCCTACTAATATATACATATATTTGCCTATGTTTCAGATGCATTTAAAAATAGATTGTATCCACTCTTTGAACAGTACAGAAAAATGTATATGTTGTCGCATATACAACTGTTATGATTGCTGTATTTATTACAATTACAACAATCTGTTTATGTACAATTCATGAATTAATTGTTAATGATAAAGAAATATTAATGACATATGCCTTGCTCCAGAATTACTGCAACCAGAAACCTTTTGCTACTTATTAGATATTTAATTCGCATCACAATTTACATGCTTAAAAATGAAATCTATTGTGCAATGTAACATTTTACTTACCACCTTTAAAATTTGTGGTACACTAATATTTTTTGTTTTGTTTTGATATTATTTTACATTCACAGATTTTTACAGTACAGCCATTTGTATTTTATATATTTCAATAGAATTAAAAGATGCAAAATGCTATGAATTTATGTATACAGTACTTCTGTTCAAAAGGAAATGCATCTTTACTTTGGTGGGAGGAGTTTATGCTTCAAATGATTTTGTAATATTCTACCACAGTTCTGATGAAAATTATATTGTTATAAACAATAAACATAATTTTAATCAGACAGTTGTAATATTTGAAGGAATAATTAAGAGAAATCCACGGTGGTTAACAACATCAAGACACATCTGATGCTTCTGGAGGAGTATGTATAGTAAAAAGATCCAATAACTTCCTCAGGTAATAAATTTTAATAGAATTATTGGTGTTTATGTGAGAAATTGTTTTACATGAGAACTATAAGCAAGCAATTCCCTCACAAAAGATTAGCACAGTCAGTGGTATTAAAAACTGGATAATTTACATACACTGATGAAACTGTGGATATCTAAGATATTCAAAATACTCATAAAGTCTGAAACATTTTTCCTGGTGAAAAATGGCTTCAAAAGCGGTATGAAAGGGCTTGAACCTTTCTTTATTCATTGGGAACTTTTACATTCCAAATCACTTTCCAAACAATATTTTCCTGATGGAGTCCAAAGCATTTGTTAGTTTCTGTTTTCTGGGAAAATCAGAAGGTAACTTGGAAAAGAAAAGTGGCTGGCACAGAAAAAGTCAAGTATCCCCTTCCCCTCTGTCACCTTTTGAAGCAAAATGGGATCTTCCCAATGCCCCCCTTTTTTTCCAGTGGAGAAATATCAGGCTGAGTTACATGACACATGTGTAACATATAGTTCATCTCTTGACTTTGTAATTAAGCTCCAAAGAACATTCATTAAAATGGTTTATTAAATGGAAAACAAAAAATATTTTCATTTAGGGAGTATCCACTTAATTAGAATACTGTATGTCATACCCAAGCAGAACTAAGTTGATGTGTTTTTAAAAGAGCATTTCTGCTGATTACTCAAGACTGGTCAGTTTATAAAACCTTATTACACAGGCAACAGGTGCAAACGTGTGTTGGCAAAAGATAGAGTCTGCATTCAACCTGGGATTTTTTTTCCAAATGGCCAATAAATGTGAGTATCATGTACATTTTTACCTCTGTGTGCAGCCTTAACATGATGTTCTTCCTCAGGTAGTAGAAGGAGAAGAAGAAAAACAGTCTCCCAAATCTGAGAACAATTTCATTGATGGTTGGTGAGAATTTAAGAAAGAAAAACTTTGCAACTGTTCATCTTTCGTTAGTAGTATAAGCAAACAAATGGGGATATTTATGCTCTGAAATGGGAGAAGGCAAATTATGGCCCTCTAAATGCCACTGTATTGCAATTGCCGTTTCTACTAGTTGTCTCCAGTATTTAGGATAAAGTCTACCTCTGCTAGAAATTTTTCAGAATAGGATATGGGAAGATGCATTTCGTTGCAATGTTGATAAGGTATATTACAGTTTATTCTTCAGTTCCATACCTAATAATAATGACGTGCCATCAAATCAGTTCCACTTTATGGAGGCCTTTTCCTGGGTTTTCTAGATATAAAAGTATTCAGAAGTGGTCTAACATTCCCTTCTTCCAGAAGTTATCTAGGACAATGTAGCCTGTCCAAGGTAACATAGGCCAACTCTTCTACTGGGAGTCACAGTGTAGAACTCAGCTCCCAGCCCCTGGCTCCCTAGCTCAAAACCAGAAAATCATCCCCATCAATGCAAATACAATATACTCACAGCACAAGAGTTCTTCTATTTCAATGTGATGCAAAAACAGGTTACAGTTGATAATTCAACTGTATTTGAACTTTATTACCTTCAAAAGTCAGAGCAGAAAAACATATTTCACCATTCATTTTCAAAATTGAATAATTTTAGGTATTAGAATACAAGATCTATCCCAGTTGATTATGTTTGTTTCTGTGATTTGGGTGGTATTCCCTTCTTTTTTTTGGAGGCTTGTTAGTGGTGCTTTACAGGTTTTGAGCAGACTGGTAGTGGGTGACTTTTCTCCTTTCTTAGCTGCCCAGCATATACATTTATATATTTCACTCTTCTGTGCGGTAACGCTTAGTTTTGCAGAGATTTGCCAGTAACTTTACTTCGACTAGGTTGAGGGGAGGAAAGCTGATTGCTTAGAAATTAGGGCAGAGGTGTTTTCTCTGTGTTAATGAGTTTACGGGTTAGTCTAATTTTAAACGCAACAACTTGTACTTCAGAACGGCAATTTAATTCAAATGCATTTTTAAAGAAAGGGACTGGTATCGTCCTAAATGCCGACTTCAGAACTCATAAAGTCTGCTTCTTCCCTGGGCGGAGATGAGAATCTCTCTTCCTCCCCGTCTCCCCCGGTGTGAGTGGGGGATGTGAAGGGCTCCCGTTTTAATTCTTGAAATCAAGAAAACCACCCTTGGCTGAGCTCTCCTTTCCTCTCGTCAGCTCAATCCCCTGGTTTCTATGGAAACTTCCCCTCAGCCGCCCACACAAGGGAAAAGGGCAACAAGGGATCAGGAGTAATTACATATGGGGCTGTCAGGGCAGAAGGGGAAACAGCCGCGGCCACAGGGAAGACGGAAGCCCAGAGAAAGGCGGGCTTCTCTTCCCTGAAAGACCAGCAGGTGGGTGCTGCCAGCGGCTGAGCGCGGAGGGCTTTTGTTGCGCCAGGAGAAGCAGCAACGGGGAGCAGCCTTTTGATAATTGGCGCGCTCGCGCTTTAGTTGCATCTTGGCACCGCGCGAAGATTTGAAAGGGAAGCCGGGCTGTTGCGGGGCGCTTTGGAGCTCCTTGAGGAGACCCTAACCCCCCCCCCAAAAGAGAGAAGGCAATTGCTCGCGCGCCTCGAGTAGCTTTGCTCCCCCTCCTTTTCTGGGGGGGGGAGAAACAATCCCCAAAACGTGTGTGCAAAAGGCGCTGGGCAACAGATGATGCTAAACAAGATGCCTTCTCCAATACCTCTGAAGAGCAGCCGCTCAAGGTGGCTTTTTGTTAGCGTTTTATGTGCCTTACTTTAATATTAAAGTACTTTAATATGCATAAGGGATGTGTTGGCGCTGGGGGGGGGGTTTAAACCGCAGAAGCCTCTGTGCTGCAAGGTCAGAAGACCAGCAGTCATAAGATCGAATTGCGCTGCCGCCGTTTGTCCCAGCTCCTGTCAACCTAGCAGTTCGAAAGCATGAAAAATGCTAGTAGATAAATAGGTACCACCAAGGTGGGAAGGTAACAGCGTTCCGTGTCTAGTTGCGCTGGCCACATGACCACGGAAACTGTCTATGGACCAACGCTGGCTCTATGGCTTGGAAATGGGGATGAGCACCTTGCCCTAGAGTCAGACACGACTGGACTAAATGTCGAGGGGAAACTTTACCTTATTTTAATATGCAATATTCGCACCTATTGTTAAATCTTGACTGACAGTTGGGCATGAATAATGGAGGGACCCTGTGACAACGTAAAGGCAACTTTATTTTAGCATGAGCTTCTAAAAGCAAAAGCCTACTGCATTATCCAATGCATTAATATGCATGGCTGTACCATTCCCTCTCACTTGCCTGTGGTTCCATATTAGTTAATTGGTTTGTAGTTTGAAAAACCCACCAAAGGAAATGATTTCTAGAGTGCAATTAGAGTGTGTCTCTTTTGTGGCATTCTAGATGTGGCTTCCAAATTATAGGAATAGATTTCATGTAATGCTTCATATGTCATAAATTCTTCAGCAGGGCATGATGCTAGGTCCTCATCCAGGCAGGGTCTTGTTAATACTGTGGGACTGGCATGTTTGGAAATGTGGAAATGATTTATATGTCATGGGCATATGCAGACCTTTTGTGGAGTTATCTGTAAAACATTTTTAGAGGCTTTCCATAATGCATGGGTGGAAAAAAAGAGTGTGATTTGAAAAGTCCTGGATTTTAAAAAGCACTTCTGAAAATGTATAAGTGCTGTACAAAAGTTTTAGCATCATTTATTTGCCAACCAAAAATGGTCTTAGACCATCTGCATTTCTCCCACCGTAATAAAAGGAAGCAATTCTCAATCTCAGAAGAGAAATGTAAATGTGAATGTTACATGTGAAGTCTTCTCCTATAGGCTTGGACTAAATAATAATGACAATTTTGCTCTTTTTAGAAGTAGACATTAACATTTTCTTCCTACTTTATAATTTTAGATGCAGAGGTGAGTTGAGGGGGCCCTCCTATAAAAAACAATTGTTAAAATGAGCAGAAGCCACCAACTACAGTATACATGATCCCTCCTCACAGTATTATTTTAGGGATTACAGACAATTCAGCAGTAGATTGTAGGTAGATTGCCATGTGCATCAATTGAAAACAATAGGCCAAATAAACATACACAAACTGTCTTGGTTTTATATGTCATTTGAGTATATTAATGATGTGAACAAACTAGTCCTGAACATATTTATTACCTATTCAGGACATTTCGTAATATCTACAAGAAATGCCTGAACTGAAGATTGAACATACATAAGTATTAATTTCTCAGGTAATCACAGCTTGAAAATATTTTGCAATATAAATGAAAG